AGGTCTCTGATATTACTAATCCATACTAACACGTACGCCTCAAGAAGTTGCCCTTTTCTAAACCTTGACTTTGCTGTGCCCCACACAACTCACTTTTTCCTCATCTGTTGCAAACTTCGTGCCAACTTCTGCAATCTAAGTCCACAATACTGATCTGTCTCAATAATACTGGACTGTGCGATTTTTCTAATTGGTGAATTTCGAATGAGATGTGGTTATTGGTTCACAAGGCTCTGTTACACTTCAAAGGATACTGGTTGACGGAACACAGTCACCATGGCGCTGGAGGGAATCAGGAGGCAAGGCGACAGAATGAAATCTATTTCAGTTGGAAAAGGTGGAAACAAGCAATAACTGTCAGGGTTAATTTCAGCGGTGAAATTCTGCCCCTTCAGATACCCGTTACCTGTTAAACTAATAGTGAAACATCATTAACAGTTATTTGAACAAGGTTGATCGTCGATCAAGTAAGTGACACTGCTTTTGATCAGGGTTTAGGACGGGCAGTCAGACATATTTTATGAGGAAGGCACTCATCAAACTGCCGTCAGTCCTCCCTAACACCCCCTTCATTTTATTTTTATAAACTCCAGTGTATCTTCCGATGGGCGATAACTGGAGGATACCGTAGGTTGTTCATATCTCCGTGAAGTTCTGAGCCATCCTTCTACTTCTAGCTCCGAACGTCACCCAATTGGCTTTCCCCTCCTCCACGCAAGACTTCCATCAATTAGGTATCTGGAAGCCGATTGTTTGGAACAGATGGACCCTCACACTTTCCTGGTTTGCATGATGCAAGCGTGGCATTTGTGTGAATCCCACCTCATACGTTTCAAGCTGTTTCCTGTTTCATAGCACCAGTTGCCCATTCCAGAGTGCAGGACCAAACCCCCTTTTCAACTGGAAAGTGTACTGGTTTTCACTCCCAGCTCGTTTTTTGTTCCCTTTTATTCCCTCTCTGTTTTGATTTTTTGACTTTTGTGCCAGGTCGTTTAGGAGTCTAAGAATTCTAATCGTTGAAGGGCCTTCTGCAGGTCCACCTTTCTCAAACTATTTTGGACTCAATCGACAAACCAGAAGAAATCTCTGTAGAACTTATTCTGTCATCCCTGAGTCTTTCCCATTTGACATGTCTCTTTTTAATATACCAACGGATCTTTCTATTTGACCACTAAACAGAGAACGGCATGGTTAAGACTGAACATGGTGGATATTACTGTCATAACAGAACGTTTGAAGATGGAATGATATGAGGTAAAGTTGGTTATCCGTAACAGTAGGATCAGGTGTTTCGAAAAATTGAGAAGCTTCCTTCAGCTTCCGAAGTGACATGGTGGCACAGATATTCACCACGATGAAAACTCATGTCTATTTTGTGAGGGCACAAGCCGTCAAAATGTAATGACTCCCTAGGGATAGACCACCAAGATGGATGAGAAATCTACATCATGCACTTCTTGAACTAGACCATTGCTGAAATGCTGCTTCGACTAGAAACTTGGCGACCTCCGTGTACCTACCACAATTCCGTGATGTGTATCCTAATTCAATATCTTAATTCGCCGGATAAACATCGCTCTAGACAGCCACCTTCATTCTACTATTGCTGTTGTAAAGCGACGGAAGTTGGTGGAGTGCTATAATCTTCATTGTTTGAGAAATAGCCACACCGTCGTCAGGCACCAAGCAACTACCAATCGCAGACACGGAATCCCACACTCGGTTAAATTACTTCGTTTTTTGGGTAGTTGACACACGACGGTCAGCTGTAACGAGGAGATATGGTGACGTCACTAACCACAGAGTCCATAAAACTAGCTTTTCCTGCCGTTGTAACTCATAGGGGTATAAAATTGATGGTGGTTACCTGAGCTTCCTGCACTTCCTCCTCACCAGAAATGGCGGCGATCTTTGTTTTTCAGCTTTGACATCCGAGAGGGCCTAAGAGACTACCGAACCATTGGGCGCCCCCTTCGATACACAGCTAGGCCTTCCATGAAGTAAACTACGAACTGCCTGAATAACTTATTGGTGTTGCTCGTACTCTGATGTCGTTCACTAGACCGAATTGATCGGCCTCTATCTGCCCATGGGCTTCTGTGTGAATGCCTCGGTATGCCTGTGTTGTAGTTATAGTAGCGCTAAGACTATTCCCGTCGAACAAGAAGCGCTGTCGTGGCTCAGCGGTGTAGTGGATAACGCTCTGGTGTTTGAGGCGATCGCTGCCCAGTCTGAATCCCTTTGGGAAAAACATCTCATTCTGAGGGGCAGATAGATCCGGTTGACGAGTCCTAGACAGGACGAAATGAGCATCCTGGATTCCACTATCGGCCACTATCTTTCCTTACTATGCCCAGACAACCGGACAACTAGACGCAGAGCAGTTGCACAGAATACAAGTGGCATATTGCCACGGTTCCGGGAAAAATATCAAGCTTCCCCCAGAAGAATCACCGAGATGTGGCGACATTCCAGCATCCTGGGACAACACGCGGGTTTCAGATGTTGTCCGCTCTATTATCTGGCTCCTCACTCCTTGGAAGAGCAAGCCCCAACGAGAGTGGACACCCGCCATTTTCTTTCCCACTTTCAAGGAAGGAGACGGGCGGGGTGCGAAACGCTACCCAAAAATATCACTTGTAACAGTGGTACGGAAAGTGATGGGGAGCATGATAGAAAACCACGTCAGGGGACACTAAATGACACCCAACACGGTTTCTTCCTGGCGGCTGATGGCAACCCGCCGGCGTACTGGCACTTCTAAGCACCTGTGCACATGATTTTTCAGGATTTTGCAAGTGTCTCTGGCACGGCCCCACGTGCCATTCCCATTCGAAAAGTATGAAGATTGGGTGGCAACGGTCAAGCGCCCTCTGGCCACAGGACGTTTAGACAGTAGACTTCTGCACCAAAATCAGCTGGATTTGCTTAACTTGGAGGACAACAAGATCTGTCGTGTTACAGGGAGGAATTTTGAGGTCATATGCTGTTCCGTCTTTCTGGTGAACGACATTCTATTGAGTCTCGGCCCACTCATTCAACTTTAGGCCAGCCACATTGGCTCGCGGAAAACTGTGACGTCAGAAACAGAACCAAGTGAAATGGTGACTTCGGATTACCTGCAGGGTGGGTGAATAACCGTAGACTGGCATTAGGCCTCGATGAACGAGCGCCTCCACACAGTGGACTCGCCGAAGACGTTCCACTCCCTCCGTGGCAAGCATGCCGTCCTCATGATTGCTGGGAAGGACCTGTGACTAATGTTGAATGATGGGCTAGATACCGGCCTCATTCTTCCTGGAGCTGTGCAAGACCTATATACTGCCCTATGTAGGGCCCCGAAACGTCACCGTACCTGAAAGATGCGAAACTCTTGGAGGAAGTCCAGAGCTGAGCGACGAAGGGTACTGTAGTGATGCAGCTAAAACCCTGTGGCAACAGGACCTAGGGTTCTACTTTCTGAGTTGATACAAGTCCCACGGTGATCTGATCACGGCTTACAATGTACTAAGTAATGTAGGCCATCCTCATAAGCAGCCACCGCGGCAATTTTCGGGGTAACCGGAGGGGGATCGCCCACCAAAGGACAAGTCTTCTCCCTATGAGTCTGTGGCCGCAGGAACGCATAACTTGTTGAAATTGCTAATTTTCTGTCTTTTGACGGCTTCGAGGAAACCCCGTACAGCTGAGCAGTGACACGGGGCTTGCTATCAACCAGCTGTAATCCGGACTGGATTGATACAACCGAGCAATTCCATAGCATTCTAGGACAGTCAATGCCATACCAAACCTTTTTCGCCGCCGATACCATTGCGAACTTGGCTCAACCTTTCGGTTCCTTTTTGGACGCGTAGCGTCAAACACTTCTCCAAATCAATAGCCTAGGGTTCAACGACATTCAACACTGATGCTGATCTTCACAGTTTTACCGGACTCGCTGGGCTGAGGGCACACGGTCAAGCATCCAAGCCATTTGGCACGCTGTCGTGTTACGTTGCACTGCCCATATTCGACTCTCTGGCCAGTTAGTTGGAACGCATCGGTATCTTGGTACGACCACCAAAATATACCACTCCATCTGACTACACTTTCGTGTTCTTCCTTGGTCTCGTATTCGTGGGTTTGAATAATTAGTGATTGGCCTCTGTGTCTGTCAAGATCGCACCAGGACAATTCCTAAAGACGTCTCATCTCCAGTTACCGTATCTCCACTAATAATATTACATATTCTTCGTTATCCATCCTACAATCTTGCCTGTTCCGTCTCCTCTCTCTGAATCTGCCACTTCGTTCCATTTTCAAGGTTCTCCTGTTTACACTACTCTTCCCTGCCTTCCCTGAACCTACCATCGTCTTGCCTTTCCTTTCCTTTTTGATTCCTTTCGACTTGTCCTTCCCACTTCCTCTTGTTTCCACTGGACATTATTCATCCTTCCTGTCTTCGTTCTAGAATGAGTCCAAACTGACTACCGGTATGACATCCGAGGGACTCATCTGGATTGAGATCTTTTGGCATAGCATAAAAAACTTAAAAATGTAATCGACATGCAACCGTTCGTCGGGTACACCAAAGCTATTGCGAGCCAGTGGGTAGACCTATCGCATCGGAATCCATCACAGACCTGCATCTGTTCCACAAGACCTAGGAGTGAGCGGGAAAAAATCGGTCTGCCTATAAAAGCTCGTAAAAAGATATCGGACATTAGACAGACAACGAAATCGACACAGGAAAGCAGAAATCACAATTGTGCCTATAGAAAGTGTTGAACTTAACTCAGTCTTCAGTTTTTGATATGAAATTTAAATACCAGTCACTTTAAAATACAAGTAATACCAATAAAAAGATCGAAGTACCTACTGGTCTTCCTGATATTGGATATTACAGCAAATTAAATATTGAATGGTTTAAATGTGCTACGATATAATCAACTTGGTTGTCATAACATAAGTCGAAACAATTACAAATCAAAAATCTTATAACACCGTAGTGTGTTTATTCAATGACAGGTGAGCCACAAATGATTGTATAGCTAGTGGTACGTACTTGTAGTTTTTGAAAACAATGATAAGTCTACAGTTGTGACTATTAAAGTCTGTGATGAGGCGAAAAAAGGTAAACTTTATTCACAAATTTAGCAAGATATTGATATCGTTAAATACATATTTGTTCAGTTGAGCGTGATTTTTGCTGTGAACTGGATATTTTGATATTAGAAATGCCATACTTCCAGGAATTCCTGATAAAAGACGGACAGTTTGTCAATGGGGTTGAAGTACTCGTTCACTGTGACTTAAAAATCTTTGAGTGGTTGCTGTTGTATGCTAGGAAGAACATCGAACCTGCAGCTTATCGAGGTTGTTTTCTGTCGACGTCAAATGTCCTCGCACTTTTAGTTTCATCAAACTTTTTGAAAATGCAAAGTCTTGTAAGTTGTTTCAGGATATACTGCTTAGAGTCTGCAGACGTCTGAATGCTTGGATTATTTCTGTAAGCATGCAAATGCAATTATCGCAAGCCCGTTTTCACTGGATTGTCTTAGTGATGTTTTGGTTGGACGGTATTATACAATATACTTATTACAGTTAATGGCCTGTATCCTAGCATTTCTCATGGACTGGACCTAGAAGAATTAGAAAAAATTAAGGATAAAAAAGACAAGTTGAAGAGGTATTTATATAATGTTGATTTATTCAATTATATTATGTAAGTAAACTGTTTTTAAAGAAAATCGAACATCTATTCGATCATGGCTACAGTACACCAGATTGTCCAAACAATGCAACATATCTGTATAAGTAAGTCTCATGCGTTTCCATTGACCACTCAGGATCGCTTTTTAACTCTATTCCATTCTTAATGCCATGGAACATAGTATAAATCATCAGATTAACGGATTCGTTTAACGGTTAGCAGCAGTTTTCTCAATCCATTCAATTGTTTCATCTAAAATATATACAAGCCTACTGGTTACCTTATTGCGAATACATGAGAAATAAACCTCTAAGTCGAGTATTTTCTTCCACGCTTATTGTTTATAAGTTCTCATCATGTTTCTTTTTAAAAATATTCATTCACTTGACCAAATGATTTGAATCGAAAGAAGTTGAGATTTACTCAACAATATTTTGCACACTTGTGCAGTAGGTAAACAACCACACCAATTGTATGGGGGCTATTGTTAATGACTGTTTATTGATACTTGTAGTTTTTCGTTTCTGTACTGGATCGAATTGATTTATTTGTGTTGATATATAGGCTACTAACCTGAAGAGTTCCAGATAGGACAAAACACGTGTCCTGGATTCCACTGCTAGCCCCAGATAGGTAATGATTGCTAGTCAGTCAAAGTTTTAAAGAACCACAAAATACTGCATAGATTTACCTGCCTAATATTTACTGAGGATAAAAAGGAAGTCCTAACCTCATTTCATTCACTATATATATATATATATATATATATATATATATATATATATATATATTTCAATGAATACGATAAGTCAGGAACATGTTAGTATATTTTTATTAAATAAACCGCTAACTTCATCCCTAAAACCCACCTTACGAGCATAAAAATTAGAACACCATAACCCGGTGGTCAATATTTTTCACTACATATCAAATCAAATGTAATTTAGAGTATATCTGCTATTATTTCATCCTCCTAGGGTGGTTAAGTGCTGTGAAACACTGTTTCTTTTAAAGAGCACGGTCATTAGAAAGATGCTGTAATAACGATACTTTCAGAGTGAATCAATCGTGTGGAACACTTTGGAAGCTTGATTTTGATATGAAACAAAACCAGAAACTTGTTTCTTCTGTCCCATATGTCACTAGAATTATTAAAGCCAATTGAAATTTCTAAATACTCATTACTGTATCATAAATTATATTTTTAAATAGCTTTCTTTTAAGCAAAACTGACAGAAAGGATCAACTTAGAACCTCACACAAGTGCTACGACTTAGGTGGCCACACTTCACAGTAGTATACAAAAAAGAGGTGGGTAGAAAAAGTGTGACATCAAAGTAGACAAAGTTGTGTGAGAGAATAATCAATTTGAAGACAAAAGTAAGTGTTAATATTCAAGCATTAGAAGACGTCAAAGAGTTAATGCATCTGCACCACTGTGGCCGATTTTCAAGAGTCATCAACCACTGACTCCTTTCGTCTGGTGGACCCCAACCAGGCGGCAGTATACATCTCCCAACACTGCTCAGACCAATGGTGGGAGATTTCATTAACTGGTGGAGCGTATTGGTGTGGCCATTTTGAACCCTCTTTCAGCCTAATCAAACTTCTTCTAGCACGATACACTGAGATATGCGGTGTGTTGGCATGCACAGAACATGTCCAAACCTCCTCAGCCGATGAAAATTCACAGCCTCACGAGTCGAGTTCCATGTTTTGTCTAGCACCCTTTGCCTGACCTCCATGGTGCTCACATGGTGGTGTGATTCCATCAAACTCGAGTAATGCTACAAAAACACCTGCAATCAAAACCTTGTGACCCCTCATATCTACTATCCTAAACGCCTATGCATCACATCTGTAAAAGAAGAAAGAACGAACTGCAGCGCCATGTACTCGTTCTGTGATCGATGGTGGAATGTATCGCCAGCTAGAACCATAGATGATGTAAGTTAGCAAGTGCCAAAAGAGCATTCCTTATCTGAGCTGGAAATTCGTCAGTAATCAGCCCGTTTGTGCTGGCTTAACTACCCAAGTAAGTGGAGTGATCGACACATTCCACTACTTTATTCCTTATCAGTAAACTGGGAGTACTTTCAGCGAACCAGTCCTGGAGCATGACCTTACATTTGGCAGGTACCAGCGAAACGCATGCATATTATACTCAAACTTCTGTCCAACGCATCCAGAAGATCATGCATTTCGTCAGCGTCTTCATCTAGCACGACGATATCGTCTGCATACTACAAATTAACCAGATGATAGTTGGTGGGCAGATCAACCTCTGGGAAGTCAGACGTACCTAAGGTTATGTCCATTAGTGCTTCACAGATGAAGTTAAATAGGAACGGACACCACTAGTTGTCATCAGTTTTGATAACAGCATTCCTTAAGACCTTACATGGCTACATGAGTTTGAGTAGAGAGCTTTGATTAGTGTTGTGTTCTTGCTGGGTACTTCTTTCATAGTCAAATACAAAACCTCACAGTCGAATGAGTGAAATACCGCCTTCAGGTCAAGAAATGTGGTAAGCGCTGACCACCGATAAGTATACCTATGTTCTAGAACGTGCAGCAGGATCAGATAAAACTCCGCCAAGAGCACTAAAAACAGACGTAGAGACAACAGCCGACATGCTCGCACCACTATTACAGGAAGTTTGAAAGGAAGGAAGGAAAGTTACCTGCCGATTGATTGGAAGAAGGGATACCTTGCCAAACTCCCGAAGAAGGGAGACCTAAATCCTTGCAAGAACTAGAGCGGAACCATGCTTCTGTCCAATCCAAGCAAAATATCAAGCCGCATCATCCTAGAGAGACTAAAAGATGCTCTTGACTCGAAATTACAACCGGAACAGGCTGGCTGGATTCAGAAGGAACAAATCATGTGTGGATCAAATTGTAATGCTTCGCATCATCATAAAACAGAGTATAGAATGGCAGTTAACTCTCTGCCTCAACTTCATCGATTTTGAAAAGGCAACTGCTTCAACACTACGGTTTAGTGCCATAAACCCTTATCAACCTCATTCAACAGCTATATGACGACACCACATACCAAGTGATTCACAATGGAAAGTTCAGTGATGCCTTTAAAATTAAGATAGGAATAAGACAAGGTTGCCGCCTACTATCACCTATGGTCTTTCTGACTGTGGTCGACCCTACTGGATTAGGTCATGCGAGAAACTTTGATGAGCGAGAGGATGCATATACGCTGTTTGACCGATGAAAAGACCCTGGGAGACGATTCGGATTTCTCCGATGATGAGTTACGCCTAATGTTACACAAACTCGAAGATCTACAGGCGAAAACTAACAAGTTGGTAGAAGAGGCGAGGCAGCGAAGACAAAACTTCCTTTGGGTGAACGCAGAGAAGACAGCTGTTGAAGATACTCAGTCAACAACAATAACAACACGAAGCACAAATCACCATCAGTGGGGGAAATCTAAAGAGAGTAATATCTTTCACCTACCTACCTACCTACCTAGGCATCATCGTTTCAGTTACAGGAGGTACAGGCACAGACGAGGATATCAAAGCCAGGATCGGAAAAGCAAGCGAGACAGGCCCTCATTAACTTGAAATCTGTGTGTGTGTGTGTGTGTGTGTGTGTATGTGTGTGCACCCAGCATAAAGCATGAACAACATCCGGGGATTTTCAACACTAATCTCAGTCAAGTTAGTGCTCACATGTGATGGTTGAGAGACTTGGCGCGTTACGGAAAGCATATACAACAAACTACAGACATTCATCAACAACTACCTATGCTCACCTGATAATGTAGATCAGATCAGATCAGATGGCCAGAAACAATAAGCAACAAGGAACTCTGGCTGGCTGGCTGGCTGGTAACGAACCAATCAAGAAGCTATCACCCAACAAATATGCAGAAGAAAGTGGAGATGGATTGGATCTGGCATAAACTGAGAAAACCATTCAGGAACATCACACATCACTCCAGGCCATCGAGTGGAACCCGAAGGGGAAACGACGAGTTGAGCGTCCCAGCTGAGGGTGACATGGAGGAGATCGTGTGAAGAAGAAATGAAAGCTTGTGGGCAGTGGTGGGGCCAGGTTCGAAAGACTACATAGAAGAGAATGAAATGGAGACGTGCTACAAACCCACTACGAACCCAAGGGAAAAATAGTAATAATAATAATAATAATAATAAAAGGTATCGAAAGGTGAAAATCTGATTGTTGCATGTAGGTCAGAAAACTGCTTGTTCCTCTCGAGCTCCAGATAGGCATCGGATATCTATAGACCCAAGAATCCTGGACACGATATCAATCAAACTGATCCCGCTATGGTTGTCACAAGAATATTATCTCTTCTTACAAACTGGGATGATCAGTGAAGTATATCAGTCTGACAAGACTACCTCTGATTTCCATACAATTCCTAGTACCTCTGTCACTCTAACCAGCAATTTTCTATCTACATAGTGAAAAGTGTCAGATGGCAAACTATCAGTTCATGGTACGTTGCATTGTCTCAGGTTTGAAACTGCCATCTTAACTTCGAGGGCGTTCGGGGTAAGGACATCTACGTCCTATTTAGGTCAAGGCTAAATGTTGTGCAACTAAAGCGTCAGTGAGGGTTAGTTGACCTGTGCTTCAAAGTGTTCTGCCCAACGTTGTAGCTGCTTGTCCTGAGAAGTTATCAATGTCCTATCCTTTTCTGTGATGGTTTAACCAACCATGTTTTTCTTCTTGCCGGTATCCCTAATAAATCGAAATAGTTGCCGGATGTTACCCAATGCTGACACTTTCATGTCACCCTCGCTTTTGCCACCCACTGTTGTTTGCCTTCACTACGAGGATATTTTATCAATTTTCGTTAGACTTGCCTTAACTTTTTATCGTGGTCAGGGCCAGCTGGAATTAGTTTCCTCTCAACAACCAGTTTGGATGATGTCGCGGAAATTTGATGACGTTTTCTAACATTCAGGTATAGGTTACCAATTTTCTTTATCGACTTCTTTACAGCAGACCCAAAATCAAGCCAGGTTACGTCAGGATGGTCATTTCTGTCACGTTGAGATAAATGCCTGGCGAACTTTCTTAATACACACCTGAAGTCCTCACCTTCCAATATAGCGTTGTCAAGCTTTACTATCGCCTGTTTCCTGCGATTAGTTACTTCATGACCTACACGAATCCGTATTAGCGGGTGATCGCAGTTCAAACTGGTACTCCAGAAAGACCGACAATCTTCCACCAATCCTCCCGCGCTATGAGTTATAGCAATGTGATCTATGTGTCCATGGTCGGTTTGAAGTTGGCGGACGCCTTGTGCTACAGTGTCTATCCATCTGATTAAAGTCAGTTCTGACCAGAAACAGGTGATTGTCGGAGCAGTATACAAATAAACAGCCACTACTGTAAGTTTGTTGGCATCGGATTCCGTAAATACCCTCAAAGATACCTTTCCGATTGGCTCAGCTTCCCTATATGTGTGTTAAAGTCAACTGCCATTATGAATACATCTGAACGTTCCGCTTTCTGCAGCGAAATCGGCAGCTTCCCATAGAATTCATCCTTTGTATAACCTGAGCTATTGTTGGTGGATGCATAGGCGGAGTTTACGAATAGGCATCACCCAGTCTCTCGGTCCTTCCTAGTCCTCAAATATTCATTCAGTCAAATAGAACACATACGGCTGTTGACTGGTATCCATTTGTGAAGCACACTTTCTGCCGTACAATTCATTGCTATGTTTACACCAGCGAGTCCCCGAGGGCTCGCCATTCGGTCTCTGGATACTCGTGAGGTGAATTCTGAACTGGTCAGGTGAGGTCAGTTGAACAACCAGCTTCGGATCCTGTATATGTGTCTCAGAGACACAACATACATCCATGGCTAAAGATTCCTGAGTTCTGGCAAGTGATGCTATCTGTCCGATTTGATACAGAGTTCAGAAGTTGAAAGCTTCTATATGAAATCGATGGCTTTGATTGTTAGCAAAGATTTCAAAGTGATGGGTTAGAGAAGGTGCAAGCTGTCTTGTACTAGTATTAGAAGATGAAGGCAAAGGAGGAGACAGAGTTGAGGAGGACAGGTTATGTGTGATTGGGTCTTGTATACTACTGGAAGGGTGCGGGCTGTTGAAACGTCATGCAGTAAATTATACTGTATCACTGCGTGCCATATCAGATAAACAGTCTAATGTGGAATTTCAGTATCTTCTCGACACTGCTCAATGTATGATTTATTATCTTAAAAATAGCAGATCAAATAAGTAAAATTTTCACTGGTAAGTTTTTTCTGATAGTAAAAAGGTGATAATTTTTTAAAACATAAGAAAAACGTTCAAAGCAGGTACAGACATTTAAGATAAAAATTTGAAAAGTACAAATACTTGTGGCTTTTCTCACTTCTTTATGCAAACAAATATTCTGAAGTAGCTCTTGAATTTAAAAATCTATCTTCGCTACAGGTACATATTATTTCTACACCTAGATCAAAACTATGATTGAAAAAAACTCAAACTAATTTACTAGAAATCATCACACCGGCTTAATGAATATCGGAAATGGATCAAAAGTTGAGGATAGATGAATAGTATTTTGAACTTTTTAATGTAGTAAACCTTTCTGCAAAATTTATGGTAATAGTGTTAGGTCAGAATACTCGACAAATCCTCAAGTAACAGTCATGTTGTTTCAGAGAGAAACATGAAAATGATTCAGCGTTTTAATCAAAAACACTTATCACTCTTCTTTTCAACGGCATATCTCAGACAGTTAGTATACAATTTATTCATCACTAATTCTCATTGAAATGTTTTGAAGCCGTCAAAATTTGTCCGAGCTACTTAAGAAATCAAATGAAAATGTTAATCAACTCATATTATTCCTCTTCCCCAACCAATAACTAAGTTTTATTCATAACTTATCATGTATATTCTCATATTTTTGTTGATTGTTTCTTGTCAAAAATGATAAAGGTGCTTAATATGTGACAAAATACTGACAAGAAAAACTTCAGTTGTTGTTCCATGTCTTCCAAATCGTTTTATAGTTAGTCAACTAGGTAATATTATACCTGTTCATTATCCTCCACCTGTATACATAAATTCACCAGTATTTAATTCGATAAATGGACACTCTGAAAATAATGAAGATAGTGATTATGCAAGATATGTACGGACATCTACATCATCAAGGATGTCATCAAATTTACCTGGTCGATCAGTCTCAACACCAAATATTATTACAAATGCAGCAATATCTGATAAGGATACAGTACCAGACTTTTCATGTACAGAACTCTTAAGTCAGTGGTTTATGGAACTAGGGAGTTGGCGTACTGTTTACTGGAAGCTATGGGCTACTATAAATCTTCAAGTTAGTCTGTTAATTATTGATATTTAATTTTCTGTGTTATCTCTTTATCAGTTTCTCTCTTATATTTAATGAATACGTTTCATAAAAATCTATACACAGGTTGATCATCCAGTCTTTATAACAATGCACTTCAGCTACTGCTCAAACTTGTTGGCTGATTTTATTATTCTACTCATGTGAATACTGTTGCTGTGTTTGAATTATATTTCAACCCTAAGAATCATCGTAACGGTTAATTCGAAAGAGAAAAACCTTTTATAACAAGTTTACAATAAATATACTAGTAAAAGTCCATAGTAAATTTTCTAGGCTTGTAGGAGAATAGAAACACACAGCCAGTATTATCGGCAAAATCATAAAATCGAAACAGGAGACAATGACCGTTTGTCACTGATTGTTTATGATTACTATTACCTATAATATCTGAGCTACAAGATAACTCAAGGTAACAATCCTATTAAATACCACATGGCTGATTGCATTTAAATAATTTCAAGAGAAGTTTTTAACAAGTTGTGTAGAAATGCTGTGTCTCTTCTTCAGAATTCATAGTAATTCGAACATAAAATCTTTTATGGTGTACATTTATTGTAATTCCTCTTTATCCTCATCTATTCAAGATAATACTTTTAATTTCAGTTGATATAAACTTGTTTTAATCTTAGTGCATGATTATGAGAGTTTTTTTTAACCTAGTCACCAACTCCATATTCGTTCTTTCTTCCAACCGATTACTACATTTTCTGAATTCTTTAAGATCAACTCGTCTATTGTTTATGCAACCGAAATTTCCTGAAATATTTTCTTGAAAATAATGTTGATGGTTGGCACTCTCACTTTTAGACATGGTTAGCATTTAAGTAATATCATACAACTTTAAAGAGGTGAATTTATCCTAAGCAAAGTCATTCATGAATTACTTTGTCCTATGAGTCACTCAGTGTTTTGTTTCAATTACTTCAATCTGCATAAACCCTAACTACGATGAAACAGCTGTCAAATGCTCCCAGGTTTCCAGTGGTTCTCTCGCTGATATCAGTCCATGATGAACACCAACCTGTAATCAATAAATAAATCCCCACAAAACTCCGAATTCAGTTGTTGTATTGTAGTCCCAGATGAGATTCCTGAAGTCCTAATAAGAAGTTGTGACCAGTAGAATCAACCAAAATCGGACGTGAAGACAATTTCTCACCGACGGCAAAGGATGTAGGTCACACTATATCGTAGACTGACAAGTAGGAAATGTGGACCATTGGATTCTGTCCCAGTGGCTCAGTGGCAACGTGCTGGTTGCGGAACCCTAAGGTCCTGGGTTAAATCTATGACAGGGTCATAATGATAATGGTTGCTTTACTCCAAGCGATGTATATGATACAGTAGGGAATTCTTAGCAAGTAATATTTAAACGAATTTAATCTCTGTACAATATTCTTAAACGAAACAGTTTTTGCGTCTGAATACTGTTAATAATGACAGTATTAAAGGCAGTGATATGAAACAAGAAGCTAGTGTTACATTAGCGTTTGGTCTGGACTGGTGAATGAATCGAAAATTGAGCATAATTTTGATGGTGGTGGTTTATTCAGTCAGTACAGCAGTCTGCAGTTCGACATGGTTATCCTAGAAATAATAATATGTCGTATATTTGTATAGTTATGAGTTCATTTCTTACCGGGGTAACACTTTTTCGTTGTTTTGTTCTTAGCTTAAAAAGCAAAAGTTTGAAAACATTTGAAAAATGTGTAACAGTACAGGATACGTTTGAAGGCATAAATCAAAGATTTAAACAAATTGAAAGGAAAGAATTTGATGAAATATGTTCGATGAAAATGTTTTGGTAACCCAAGATTTAAGCGGGCCGCCATATATGCGCACTAGTGAGGAGTCTCATCCGAATCAGCTGTCCAGTGCTCCTAGGTTTCCATTGTTTTCTCCAATTGATGTCAGTAAATGATGAAAACCGAAATGTAATCCATAACTTGTTGTAAAAATTATTATTCCAGTAAATGTTTACTGTAAGTATGGTATGTGCTTTACACCATTAAAGTGCAAAGTACTTACTTTTGAAAGATTGCCAGAAGCCTTTACCCGCGCTCACCCTTGGTGATGAACCGTTGGAAGTAGTCGAAAAGTTTGTGTATCTAGGGCGTTGTGTGAGCGCTGATGGAGGTGTGAGTAGTGGAATTTTCAACCGCGTATCGAAAGCCAGAGTGGTATATGCTAATCTGGGTCACCTTTGGCACCGTCGCGACCTTAGTCTTATCGTAAGATGTCATGTGTGCGACGCTTCAGTGTGAGCAGTTTCGCTCTGCCGCCTATGAATACTGGCCTCTCTGGGTTGAGGATATGCCACGACTCTGCGTGTCCGATCATCGTTGTCTCCATAGGATTGCTCGTATCCGGTGGAAACACCATCTAAGTAATTCTGATGTACGATAGCGTGTGGAGGATGATTAAAATTGTCATTCAATAAGTGGAGTCATCCGAAAACACTGATTTTAGTAGTTTGGACATGTGTTACGCATGTTGCCACAACGGCTTCTACGCCGTTCATTGTTTGCTAGCCTTGGGATTGGATGGAAGAAGCGGAAGGGTGGTCAGTATATGACGTGGCTCTGTGAGATGAAGGATAGTCGTATCGAATTAGCATCGGTTGTTGCTTCAGAACTCCCTGGATGGGGTCCGAGAGGTAACGCAATTCAGTGATTTGAGATGTTCTCAGAATCAAAACCAGTGACAATCATTCTATAAGTTTCTCCTATCTTCTGCTGTTGAAAAGTAATGGATGTTTTGTTTTGAATGTATCTTACTGAACTGGGTTTATAATCATTCTATTCTTATTTTGTTTTGTTTTTATCTATCCCCTCACTTTATGTCTTCATAATGTTGTTATATTATTTTGTGTGGCGAATTTCTGGATCCCGCTGACTGCAAACTGGGCTTTAGAAGTAGTGAGGCCTTCAGACGTATACAACACTCAATGTTATATAGATCTCTTCAACACAGCCCGGGGTGACAGAATATTATTGACTGAACAACCTTTCGGACACAATTTATTGCTTGTGTTCACATTAAAGTAGTCATACAACTTTCAACCCTAATTTTTTAATCGTTATACATTTTCGCATTCTTTTAGTTTGATTATTAGTGGAATTCTCTACATATCTGCAATCAGTGTTAAGATATTCCTGTTACACTTGTTGGGCCTTGAATCAAGGAACGAATATTCAATAGTCAACCCATCTCTCTGCACTTAATTTCATCAGTCTTTAGAACTGTCATTATGTCCCATGCTATTATATGGTTGTGTTGTCACATACTTAGCTACGGCGGGTTTCTTCTCTGACTTAATCATCCTAGTAGGGTCCATGAATCTAGACTTAGCTAAGCTATGTTAACCAGACTGATTCCAGCCGGCTAGTTTGATCTGCGTAGTTAACCTCACAGTCATTCCAAGATATTTGTTAAGTTAAATAATTTTGTCTCAGTGGGTCCCTACAATCCTTAACTCAACAGAGTTAATGTCTGAATGAATTTGCAGACTTCAATGCCATCTGGCTCCAAACCTTACTGAAAATTCTACGTAGCGTTTCTGATGTCTCTTCTTTATATGACCACACTAAGGAGGCCTTGAATTCCTTCATAGGCATGTTGCAATCATAAAATTCAAATAAAGAAATGAGACACACCAGAGAAGTTTTTCTCCTCAGTGACTATCCTGCTAAACGTATTTAAAATTTCTTAGGGACCCATAAAGAATGGAGAAGCAGTGATGTAAGCAGTTTTCTCATCACGACAGAGAAGGAATTGAATAACCAAATTAATTGAATTTTTATTGTATTTCTGTAATTCCCTAGCTTTTAATTTTGATGTTGGAATTTTCATCACAAAAATAATTGACGTCATTGGCAATTCGTACAGAATTAGTATCTGCAATCTTGACTACAATAAACTCTATTATTGTATTTATTGTTATCATTATTTGTCCCTTGGGCTCCTAGTGAAACATATGGCTTCAGTAGCACTTCTCCATTTCACTCTCTTCTATGTAGTCTTTCAAACCTGGCTCCACCATTGCCCACAAGCTTTCATTTCTTCTTCACACGATCTCCTCCATGTCACCCTCAGCTGGGACGCCCAACTCGTCGTTTCCCCTTTGGGTTCCACTCTATGGCCTGGAGTGATGTGTGATGTTCCCGAATGGTTTTCTCAGTTTATGCCAGATCCAATCCATCTCCACTTTCTTCTGCATATTTGTTGGGCCTATTATTGTATACTTAATTTTAATTGTATGAATGAATTATATCAGTGATTCTCTTATAAAGTAGCTCCATACAGGGAATATTCAGCAATCATAAACAAACTTGTATGCTACTCACTTAATCATAGTCATGTTAAAGTTAAAAATAATGTCTAGGCATTATAAGCAATTAGAACAGCGGCCTAGATTTGAAATCGTAAGATGAAGGTCAAGAAATTATAGAAATAATCTATTGTGTAGCACCTAAAAGTATGAGAACAAACAGAAAGCAAGTAAATTAAGCTTAGTTGATAAAAATCGCCTGGATAAAACAGCTTGGAAAACAATATCTTGAAAACTGTACGCTTGATGATGTAAAAGTTGAATAAGATCTTTTGCATACAAGTCATGATGAAAATTTTTAAACTGAGTTGAAGCAGATGACCAGCATCTCCTAGTTCTTACTCATTTCACAATGAATATCAATCTTCACGGGAAGTTATCTTTCAAGTAATCCAAAAGACATTTGATTTTATATGAACTATGATTATGATTTGATTGAATAGTATCATGAATATTGGATGCTGAGTAAAAGGTTGACATTTGAATGTCTTTTGACTTGTAACTGGGGATTTTTTAGGAGTTTATAATAATCTTTTCCTCAGGATCCAATTTGTTATAAAAATACTTTTAATAACTGGTTAAATAATAGGATTATGAGAAATATATTTTTTGCTTTGAACTTTTTGTTGAGTTTTTTTTTGTTTAACGTGATAGTAATTCAAAAGTGTTGTAAACTGAACCAAGTCAGTTCCATTTCGATTGATTTACTCAATGTATCACACAGTGGAACAGTATTCTTTACTGTGTTTTATTATCCAAACTAGCACGCCACTCAACACCACAAGGGAAGGGAAGCTAACAATACCAATAAATAATTTTTTCAAAGCATGAGATGGTTCTTCATAAGTATAGATCAACTGTTTGATAGTGGGATTTTGATATTCAGTGAATTCGTATGCACCATCTAGATTGCTTATGAACTATGTGATTGAACATCTTCTGTTAGAGGATTCTATTATTTTGTGAATTTAAGATCTTACGGTTTTATAAACATCCAAACCATAGCTATTACGCATGTCCTGAAAGAAGTTTTAGTTTACAATGCAATTTCAGTCAACACGCTTACTTCGGGTGAATATGTGGTGCCTATGAATTAAGTTTCTAACTGCTGATCTGGGGTGTGTAGAGAGGTGAAAACTGTTTGGCTTGGGTTCTCCAGACGAAGTGTGGCAATTTTAACTGATTTACATCTATGTTAGGTTTCATTTTGGTATCCATTTGAATCCCGCAAACCGAATGATTTATATCTTATATTTAGTGCAAAAATCAAAGTATGCCATTTTTTGTATACTAAAGACAAATACTTCGTTAATTTCTCGTTCATTTGGAAATGGACTTCAATTTAGACAACAAATCAATGAAGTAACCATGGGAATTGAAAATGAAGTTTCAACAAGAAGCCTTGACCTTTAGGTTCAACCAAGTCAAGTCTGACCAAAACCCATGTTGACAGGATTGAATGGTCGTAAACTGACATTAAAAAAATATTAACTATTGGATTCAAACTCAGTAACTGAATGACGGTATACTCGCTGCGAGAACTAGTGGTCCTAGGCTGGATCTACTCATAGAGTGTTGACTGTTCACTTCTGAATTCCCTAACTAAGAACGAACAGCTCTGCAGTTCTGATAGGTTTTCATTGCTTTTTTGACTCATGTCAGTCAGTGATGAGTGCTGTACTGAAATCCATATATCCTCCAGTAACTACATGAATTTGACGTTTGTTTTATGCAGTTCTAGCGACTCTATATCTGTATACATCTCCAAAATATTGCATGTGTGTGAATATCTAATGGATACTTTATTCAATGATGCCCTAACACTCACTAGTTCTATATTTCACTGGTTTTTGTTTCATTTAGTCATGCAAACGGTGCAAGAGACAATTTCCAATCATTGAGTTAGGTGATGGGTGTATTTTTCATCCCATGGTACCTACACTTGTTCAATCAGAACAGTCGATCAATGATAGTCTTCTGACATCCAATCAAACAGATAAACATCAATCTGTTAATGGTCTTAACGGGTCATCCCCTATAATAAGTAAAACACGAAATACCCCAGTCCTCAGTAAACACTCTAATTCTACTGGATTACTACCCGATCGATTCCCAACAAACTGTTCACAATCAATTACCAATCAAAAGTCATCTAGGTAATTAGTAATTATAGTTTGTGTTTATATATCAGATTAACCTTTTTGAATATACCATTAACGTGTAGGTTATTATAAAGGTGTGACACATTGATTTAGTAATGTGGCTTTCAACCAGTGGGTCACAGCTTTGAACATCGCTCCACCTACTGAGGTTTGGGCGCCCAGATAATAGACCTCACATAATATGTGTGCTTTACTACCTACTACACGAATGTGCACAAAGTTTCTGAACACGTTTCGTGTTTTTTTTCATTGTAAGTTATTATTGATTCATTTTAAGGACTTACGGAGGAGTTAATTTTCGTGCATTTCTTGCATTTCAAAGCGCACAAACTTGAAGTAAAGAAATACTGTATAATGCTTTACACCTCAGGTTAATCAATCCTTCAATCAGTCCTAAAACAGTGGGTCTTTCGTTCAAAACTGTACAAACAAAACAAATCACGCGCGTATTATCATTTTAAACAAAAGTGTAGTGCAAATGGTGACATATTTAAAACTATTTCCGATTACTCTCAAAGCAGAAGAACACCATGTGTCATATTAGTCAAGTGTGGATATCTTTCTCAAAATTCAATAAATTTATATGTATACTTTTAAAAGAATACATTGTGTTAAGCTCATTATAATAACTGTTATACTCAGTTGTAATCAGTCCAATTCTATGTTATATTCATATGAACAAAATTGGATATTGAAACATCTTCAGGAAGACTGGTTAGCTCTAAATTTTAGTTGTCACTGAACAGAAACCTTGTTATATTTTAGTATAGATGATTTAGCAGATGGTTTAGACATTATTTATAAGGTTTACAGTTGAAGCTACGTACTTGTTAACATTGACTAACATGGTATGCATACGCAATCTAAAAACGGAACTGACAAATTTTGGAGACAGCTGTAGATAAATGTACAACGTTAGTTAGTCTAAAGTCAATTAGTTGAGACGGAAATTTTCTAGTGATAAAGCATCTGATTTTCCCTTTAGGACCGACCTAAGTTATTTGTAATCAGAAAGTGTAAGTACAGTGGTATAACGTGGTTATGAGCATCAAGAAGCAGAAAACTGTGGTTTACAATTCTGTGGTGACTGGCTACAACAATCGTCATCTAGCATCAAATTGATTACACTACATTGCTGAGTCATTCAGCTTATTTGGCATTGGGTTCTGGTTCTGGTAGAATCCACTTATACTCAAAAAGGCTAGACTACGTTTCATTGTCTGTCTGACCAGTAAACAATCTCAACTTTTTATATTAAACAGGTATATTGATACTTTTCAGCATGCCAAAGATCAAATACTAACCAATAATTAAAAACAAATAAGCAGAATGACAAACGGACAAAATCAAAGTAGAAACTCGTTCATAAGTGTATCGGCTCAAACGGCCGCACTTCACAGTAGTATACAAAGAACATGTTAGTAGAAAAAGTATGATATAAAAGTAGACAAAGTTGTATGAGGGAATAAGACGAAGATTAGTGTGAATATTCAAGCATTAGATGTCAGAGAGTTAATACATCTGCACTACTGTGATCTGTTTTCAGTCATATCACCAAGAGTCCTCAACCACTGACTCCTTTTGTCTGGTGGACCCCAACCAGGTTGCAGTATACGTCTCCCAACACGGCTCAGACCAATGGTAGGAGATTTCATTAACTGATGGAGCGTATTGGTGTGGCTATTTTGAACCCTCTTCCAACCTAGTCAAACTTCTCCTAGCATGGCACACTGAGGTGGACGGTGTGTCGGCAGCTCAACATATATCCAAACCACCTTAGTCGCCTAAGGTTCACAACCTCATCGATCGGGTTGCCTGTTTTGCCTAATACACCTGTCCTCATTATGGCTCACATGGTGATTTTGCCGTACGTGATCAATGCAATGAAGACATCCATGGTCAAATCCCTGTAATTACTTCATATCTTCCGCTTGTAAAGGTCATGTCTTAAAGCTGTAAAACAGGACAGAACCGACTGGAGTGCAGTATATTCGTTCTTTAATAGATAGGTGGATGCCTAACCAATTGGTGCAATGGATAACGTAAGTTGGCAAATGCCAAACGAACCGTTTATATCCAAGTGGCCAACGTATTTGACTACTTCAGTCCTCATTTTTAAACTAAAAGTAGTTGTAGAGCAGTCTTGGAACAGCATCTCACATTTCACCGGTGCCAGCAAAGGCATGCTAAACGTACCTAGATTTCTGCCCAACACAAATAAGCAGGCTATGCTCAATGCTTTCTTAATAGCCATAGACCTTTGAAGAAATTACTTCGCCATCTAAAACACTGTACAACAATTTTCAACACTTAGCAGATGTCTACTTATTTTCTAAAGAGCTTTTCGTAATTACTTAGGGTGACATATAGTAAGCCAACTAAATGACTTTACATTCACTTTTCCTTATTTTTGGAAATCATGTTATCACAGTTGTAAAATAAGCAAACATAAATAACAGAGTAGAATCTTTCCACCATAAAACTTGCTAACTTTTCTATGTTCACCAGTTCGTTGGCTATGTATCCAGTTTGCTGGAAAGATTACCTTCAAGACCGATATATTCCACAATTGTTACCAGATAAAAATATGAGATGCGTTGAATAACTCACGTTTACTTCTCTCCGATTTTTATCGAAGTGGTTTACTGCAAAAGTATTTGATTACAATATTTCCAAAAGCTATCACATGTCATGTAATTGAATGGAATACCTGACCAATTACTACGATTGAATAATTGTGTTTGTGCTTGAGCTAAATAGTGGTGCACAGTATAATCTATTGAGTGAAAGTTGTTATTGAGGTAGGTAAGTCTATAGTCGGATCAGATGAAATTTTGAAGGCTGAAATGTGAAGTCTGAAGCCTTATCACAATAACTTGTCATATCTCTGCTTATGAGGAATCGACAACATATATGAAGGAAGAAAGATAAAAAGCCATGATGGTAACTAGGGGTAACACGCACAACATATCTAGGGTCTGTGACTGCTCAATTCTGTCCCGAAATGAAGAAGTCGGCATTATTCTGGGGTAAACTATCTTCGTGATATAGATAAGCTTAAGGCTGGTTGTCTCGTTGAGTCATGTTGTTTAAAAATAAATTTGAAATAAGACTGAGGAAGTTGTTCTTCGAACAGATGCTCTTTTATAGCATGGATTTCCATTGACATTCACTTTTCAGTTGACTACAGCTTCATCTCATTTGACTCTATAGTTCACCCGAAGCCATCACCATCTAGTTTTTACTATTCTGTCCAGCACTTGGGTGATATGATTAAGGATAACCATGCTCCATGAAAACAGTTATTAGAGCTATCACTGTAAATGTTAATTCATAGCAGCAAAAAAGAAATAATTAAATCAGATTAAAACTCTAGCAAAACTTGTTTCATTCATCTTTTATATTCGGTTAATTGATTCTTGTTCGATGCCTGGATGTCAAAATTTAAACTTCTGGTTTTCTGGAAAGGTGAAGACAGTCTGATAATGCTGACAGAACACGATTCCAGTTCGGTTTTTGAGAGATTAGTGAGACTTAGAGAAGCTAATGATATTATAGTTTACATGTTGTCACTATGACCAGTGATTTCATGTTTACAGTAGATTACACTGAGATTCGGTTTCAGTAACTGCACTCAGTGTAGTTGTTGGTCATCTCATCTGTTTTGACGAACAGAGATTTCATCTGCTACACAACTGTTGTACATTTGCCGACGTTCATTTCCTGATTATTCTGACTTTGAATTTACATGAGTAAGCATGTTTATCAAAGATAAGAACTGTTCAGAAACCGTTGTTGTAAGTTAGTAACTGTTAAAAAGTCAAGTCAAGGTCATCGGAAATTGCTTATAAAATTATGATAAAAATAAACAAAGAAATGAATAAACTGTCTTTGGGAAATAACGACCAAGGTAAAATTAGAGATTTAATGTGTTTTACGGCTCTACATTGTCCTTTAGACAGCCACGCAAGATAGTGTTCAGAGATGCATCTGTATAGAGCACGCTTCATGCAACCTATGTAAACAAACATGGAGTTGGCCCAAAGTTGTAGTTTATCCTTTACACGCTCTTGAATCAGTTGCTGACTGGAGAAAACAGTCCGAAGCTGAGCAGAAAAGAACTTCTTCTTCAGTGCTTTGCTCAGTCAGTCCTTCAATATCTTTGCTAATGTATCTTCCTTCAATCCAATATTCGTAAACAGTATCTTCTTTGAACCGTAGGGGTTCCTTCTTTGAAATTCTTAGGCCTCATGTTCCTCTCAGTGAATCTTGAAGGATAGCCATTCTCAATTAACACTGTTCAAAGTACTTCCAGCTCTTTCGGAAGCTGTCAACAGCCCGATTCTTGACCATTTGGTTATCTCTGGTTACTGTGCTGCACGAGAGTTTTCTTTCAAAGTCATATTTAAAGAGAAACGGAAAACTTTGGAGGGAATGCGTATTCACCACCTCAACACATCATAGGCTCTGGCAATTCAGCATTGCAAGCCTGATCTTTGTGATTGAAAAAGACACATTCTAATTTTGCCTTGGTCGTAGTCTCCTGAAGACAGTTTATTCATTTTTTTGTTTATTTACAATAATCCTATAAGCAATTTTTGATGACCTTGATTTGACGTTTTAACCATTGTCACTTTGTAACTTCATTGAACATTTTTGATGCATTTACATTGATCCATTAGTTACTGGTAGATGCACTTTTTACTCTACCTATGATCACAATATACAACTTTTGAAAATGATTCGTCCAGAAGAAAGTTTTTTTGATGAATTGTCTGACTAATTTTTTCATTATTTAACGGAACTACGTTGACCGTTTTGGAGGTGGTTTTTCTTCACTGGTTTCATCAATAATACTTTCATTTCTAAGTCGGTTACACTTATCTAGTTAGTTTTTGTGTGAACATAACTTAGTAATCTTAGACGTTTAAAACCAGTTGAAAGGAAGTGATAGTCATGAATTTGATAATTGTTAAATCTGATTGAAATGGCCTGTCATTCGGTAACCTGACTGGATTGAATTACTGAACTGTATGAACTGTGGTGAGAAATAAATCTGAAGTAACCTTTGGGGTTTTTGAGCTGACTCAAATGATGAGCCCTGAAAAGGCGAAAATCAAGCATTTTTACAGTAAATTTCTTTACCTTAGTGTTCAGAAACCTACGATGTTGTATTTCAGGCAATAGACAGTGATTACTATGGCTGAACAGCAGCTACTATCTGAGAACAAATCGTGACTATTGATACACAAATAATGCACTCATCTCTTTAATTACGTCTACTAGGATTCTTATTTGAGGTATCTTATTGAAATATTCACTTGCAACAGAAATTTAAAATAAAAGTATTTCTGTGTCTGTCTCATGGTTCCGAATATTACCTTTAAAAATAAATTTTGTTATCATGTTTCGTTTTTGAACAAGTTTTCATTATTTATTTAATACACTTATTTGTTTAGTCACATACAACCAAATCTGATATATCCATGCTGTGGACTCAGTGTATCAAGATTTAATCCATTTCGAATTCAAACTGTAAGTTTTCCGTTGAATGCTTTGTTTTAAGGTTAACTGAAAAATATCATAAATTTTTTACTACTTTTATGCGAGATTGTAACCCATGGATTTGTTTTTGTTGATTTTCCATGAATAAATAATTTTTCATTGAGTAAAATGTTTTTCTTTAATCAAGTTAAACTTGTTTTATCTGACAACAGATGAGACTGATTTACTTGATTTATTTAACGATTATAAACGTTTAATATTTTATAATAGATATTCATTAAGATACTTCCGTTTAGAAAATTCTGACGCGAAGTGACCACACATTACGTACTAACTTGTTGATTTTTTAGGTTTCTAGCGATTGTCTTTAAAATGGCTAAAAATTGGTCACAATAACACAGTTGTATTCACTCTATGATGTCTTCCAAAGTCTGTACTTTTCCACTAAACTTCAATTTTCAAATCCTTTCTCCTTATATACATTTCTCTCCACCGTGAAATCAGTCTTTCTTTACCCACCTGTTTTTTTGGATACTTCTGGGAAGTGTGGCAACTTAAAATAATGCATTAATATAGGTGTAAAACTTGGGCACTGTGGTAGATTGTAATTCCATATTAGATTTGTTTAGTTGATTTTTTAGGACACAGTGATACAGTATTATTTACCTAATGACGTTTCGAGCATTAGATTATTGCTGATAATCATTTCATACACAGTCTGTTAGGAAATTCGTACGGACACATAGGAAACGAAGTGATAGCAGTGATACAAATAATAACGCCAACACGACTAAAAAGACGTTTAAAACCTCCATTGTGTTACCCTATAAGGAAGGAAATTCAGAAGCTTTACTTAGGATTCTTAAAAAGGCAGGAGTTAGGGTGGCATTTAAACTCACAAATTCACTCAGCGATAAGCCTTGCCAGCTGATAGTCGCTTGAACTGTTTTCATTTGCTTGTATCCTTTACACAAGTCATAAGTTGGCAAATGAATACGTGTTCGTAAGATACAGTTGAGGAGGAACTGGTGACATTATGTAGCAAACTGATCGAAAATGGCTATCCTGATAAATTTATGAAGAAACATGATTACAAAAATGGTATAGAAGGACATATCAGTGGCTAACAGAAAACCCTTGTGCATTTAGGTAAAATTCAGTGATGGTGTGCCTAGCAAGATATTAGTTCACAAGTTTTGCAGACCAATTTAAAAAATCTTTAATTGTGGTAAATAAAAAATTACGCTCGGTGTTGAGGACAAAAGTGAAAAGGTGAATCCCTTAGAGCAGCCGCTTCGTGTTGTGTTCATCAGTTCGGCTACTTCTTTGTGTGATGTGTTCAACAAAAGCAGGTGTTTTCATTTCAACTACTAACATGCTTAACATTTCATTCAGCTGTTATTCCTCAAATTAAATATGGGATCCAACTTTCATACACCTCTTCCCATAGCTTTATTAATCTATTACCTTATAGTATTGCATAAGCCATATGTACAGTCGTTCTAACTGAATTCCAGTAATAATTAACTAGGACAGCAATGTTCACACAGTGCTTTTCCGAAGTGATTTCCTCAACTGTGTAATATTATTAACAAACTTTTAAACGAAATCTTAATATTACTGACACAGCATTGCACAATGTGGACATATAAGTGTAGCGACTGAAGGAGGAGCTAACGAAAGGAATATTCTTTGTTCATTCAAATAACTTTAGAAAAAGTAATATCATAAGTTGACCATGAGTAATTTCCTTATTCATTTCAAAGATCTTAATTTCATTGTTCTAATTAATGCTCGTTTCATCTTGAACCGTTAGATGAAGTTTAGTAAAAAGAGGAAATATTTATTGTTATTTGGATGATTTCTACTCTATCCCATTGCATAGACTAAGCTATAATATCCTTACAAAAATAACTAGACAGTTCTAGGCCTCATCCATTTAGGTATCGTGAGTGCGCACTAAAAGAATGCGGAGAATAGTATGAGAAAATAAGTTAAGCATCTAATTCTATTTAGATTTCTTAAGTTGGATCGCATTCATTTTCTAAACATCTGTTCCGAACACCTTAGGAACCTAAGTCATTGCGTTTACAGTTCTCAGTGGAACTTAAGTCACTAATCACTAATTCCATGAATTGTTCTCACTTTAAGATTTATGTAACTTACACTTGCCTTATCTAAGATAGCAAATCACTCCAAGAACTAACTGATTATGACTAGTGGAATTACTTCCAGTTGTTTTAGAGGATTAGATCCGTGGTATGAATCTCCAGCATCTAAATGTTAGTGGCATTTGTATTTCTCGAATTAAATATATGATGTCGTTTAACAAATATTAGAAACACCTACATTTTGGTCTAACCTACTTAAGGAGTTGAAATAAATACAAAGAAAATACTGAATAAGGTTATCTATCTACTAATAGGAAAAACAGTCGTTCGGCATACGATTGATTTTATCCGCCTCATGTTTTTGTCCCAATAGTTTGAGCCATGCACTGGATATGATTCATTCGTTTTATTGAATTGTTATGTATCAGGAATGTCCAGATTTCTATATAGCGCTTACAAAACACGACAATGTTTGAATCTGTAGGTCTTTTTTTCTGATACATAATACCAGCTCCAGTAGAACTACAGTGAGAAGAAGCGAATGGTGACAGGATCAAAACTTGAAACAAATCATATGATGCTAGTTTGAATCATATAATGGATAAGTGTAGACTGCCTAATCAAAGTAACTAGGATTTTAAGAATCCTCACCCGAAAACTCCCAGTGATGTTACTCAAAATTAATAGCAATAGTTTAGTTGTATTCGATCTTTTCTACCTAGGTTCTAAGCATCTTATCAGCCTTAATTATTTGCTCCTTTTCCCCTTTTTTTCCACTCATTTTAACATACTTCTAGTTTTTCTGATTTCCTGCCTTTAATTTTATAAAAATTTAGCACACTGAACTATGAAAACCACGATGTGACGTTCTATGTTTACTTGTTTTTTTCACACTGCTAAGTTATATCTATAGTGTTAGGACAGAAAGTTAAATTTTGTGGAATGTTCAGGAAATATCGTCTATTTCCTCTCCATATTATTAACTAACCTCTTCACTTTATGGATTTCCATACATAAGGGATTAAAAGAGAAGAAGTACTTCATATTTAGTGTATATCTGGTAGTTTTAAATTGTATGAAATGCGAGAAAAACTTTCTGAGAAATAATATTTGAGGAGAGAAAAAAACATGAGTATTTTTGGTTGCGTGAACCGCGTCTCTCCCCCCACACCCTCAGTTCACAATGAAGCCAAGTTTTAAAGTGAAATATCTCATTGCTAACTTATGGGAATAAACGTTGCCAGAGCAAAACACTTAGTTATTCATTATAAAGGAGAGAGAGAGAGAGGGACGGTAAGCGAATGCAAATGAAAAGATAAGTGCAATATGAAGCCTAATAACCTATCAAAGCTCACAATTCACCAGAAAGTTGAAAAGTTACGGGTGGCCAACCGTAACCTGACAGAAGCAGAGAATGTGGACCATTGGATTTTGACACAGAGGCTCAATGGTAAGGTGCTGGCCGCAGGACCTGTAGGTCCTGGGTTCGTTCCGTGGATGCTCACTGCTGAGGAGTACCATATTCAAACGAAACAGACATCCGGTGCTCCTAAGTTTCCTATGTTTCTCCAACTGTTGTCAGTTCATAATGAATACCGACTTGAATCAATGAAAAAATCCCCACAAACATCCAAATTGAGTTATCTCTCAGATGAATATTACAGTTGTAAACAATGGCTCTGGTTTCAATATTTCTTTCAAAATATTTCTAGTAAACGCTGGTAGCTATGTTATACTGGATACATGCTTATTTGCATATTATATTACACTGTAAGGAATCATCTTCAAATACTTTTATGGTTGAAACTGAAGTTATCAAATAATACTGATGAAATATTACTCGGAGAGATAAAAATCAATTTATGCTACGGATTAGTTGAAGTTTGGAATGTTAGTCACTGACACCAGGCCTACTGATACAAGGGTTACAGAATTTTGAAACTCTAAGTTGTGTTTTATCACATTTGAACCCCTTCATCAACGGGACTGTGTTGATTACTTACTTTAAGCTACCAATAATTTTATAAGACAAATCCAGTGAACACAAGTCTATCGATCCAGTAAGCGTTACTTCTGTATAATTACATAAGGCAGCTTCAACACTGAGTTGGTAATTTTAATTTTGCTGAGTATTATATTTTATCGATGTTCAATATCATATTTTGCATCACTACATTTTACCTCCGTCTTATAAATAATAACAATATAGAATCATATAACCTTTTATTTAATTCAATGGTTCACAATGATTCTGTTTATTAAGAAGGAGTTTGTGCTACGGGATGATATGGGTTACAGAATCGGGAAAGCATTCTGTCCTACTTTTGGACTCCTCATTAGGAGACTCCCATAACCCCACTCAGGATTGAAGCAAGCATCCTTGATTTAAATCCAAAAATTCTCACAGGTAATTCCACCTCGAATCATAGATATTGAAATTATTTTTTCTAGGAATTAACATTTTTGCGAATTTCTTCTTTGTCTAATTAGATTTAATGTTACAAAATGAACTAATACAAATATCTACCGGCTAATATCAATTTCAAAACAATAAGATCAAAATTTCTCTGTAACCATTGGTCATAGGAAATTTATAATTAAAATAAATATTAACCAACCTTCAGTGTGTAGTACGTTGCGTTTTTTAATTTCCACTTATTTTTCACAGGGATGTCATAGAAATGAACATATCTTAAATGAAGACAGTTCAGATCCCGTGACGAAATTATGCATTGAACACCGTGAAATGATAGTATCATGGGCACCAAAACATTCAAACAATTCAAATAAGTTAGTTTAATTCGCTTACATAATTTTACGACATATTTATTATTATTTATTTGTCCCTTGGGCTCCTAGTGGAACATACAGCTTCAGTAGCACTTCTCCATTTCACTCTCTTCTATGTAGTCTTTCGAACCTGACTCCACCACTGCCCACAAGCTTTCATTTCTTCTTCACACGATCTCCTCTATGTCACCCTCAGCTGGGACGCCCAACTCGTCGTTTCCCCTTTGGGTTCCACTCGACAGCCTGGTCTGGCCTGGAGCGTGATGTCTCAAAATGGCTTTCTCAGTTTATGCCAGATCCAATCCATCTCCACTTTCTTCTGCATATTTGTTGGGTGATAGCTTCTTGATTGGTTTGTTACCAGCCAGCCAGCCAGCCAGCCAGAGTTCCTTGTTTCTTATTGTTTCTGGCCATGTGATCTGATATACAGTATCAGGTGAGCATAGGTAGCTGTTGATGAATGTCTGTAGTTTGTTGTAAATGCCTTGCGTAACGCGCCAAGTCTCTTAACCATCACATGTGAGCACTAACTTGACTGAGATTAGTGTTGAAAATCCCCGGATGTTGTTCATGCTTTATGCTGAGTGCAGTGCAGTCCGGTGCAGTAGATCTCCACACTGATTTCAGGTTAATGAAAGCCTGTCTTGTTTTTCCGATCCTGGCTTTGATGTCCTCGTCTGTGCCTGTACCGCCTGTAGTTGGAACAATGCTGCCTAGGTAGGTAGGTAGGTGAAAGAGACAACTTCCTTTAGATTCCTCTCATTGATGGCAATTGGTGCTTGTTATTGTTGTTGGTTGGGTCCCTTCAACAGCTCTGTCTTCTCTGCGTTCACCCAAAGAAAGTTTTGTCTTCGCTGCCTCGCCTCTTCTACCAACTTGTTAGTTTTCGCCTGTAGATCTTCGAGTTTGTGCGACATTAGGCATAACTCATCATCGAAGAAATCTAAATCTTCTAGGGTCTTTTCATCGGTCCAGTCATCGTGTTACCATCTCACTTCCCACAGTTTGTCGCATGATCCATTCCACCACATTTAGTAAGATCATCGACGATAGTATAATATTACTTATATATATTTTTATTCTGAAAAAAATCGTAAACTGACAGAAATAACAAGTATGGACCATTGGATTATGACCCAGTGACTCAATGTTAATGTGATCACCACAGAACCTGAAGTTTATGGGTTCCATCCTCCGTGGCTTAGGGTCATAGAAGCTCATTGCTGAGAAATCTCATAGTAAAACGAAACAGCTGTCCAGTTCTAGGTTTCCCATGTTTCTCCAACTGATGTCAGTCCATGATGAATGCCAATTTAAAATCAATAAGTCTTCATAAATCCCCAACTTCAAAAAAATTTAAAGTAAGAGGACTTCTTCACACATATTTTGTTATATCTTATTGTTACTGGTAAAGTCTGTCAATATTTGTTTTATAGGATTACTGGTAAAGATCTTAATTTCAGAAACACTAGGAATATTATACGCACATAGGTAATAGTTGGGTCACGTGTCTATGCATCTGATCATCGAATCACCTTCTGAATCATCTCCTTTCAGATAGACTCTCCTTCTTCTTCTTCTAATCGCTTCATAAATTTTCATCACCTATTTGAGGTTTTGTCATAATACATTTTTGTGTTTTATTTGTATTCATTTCTATTGAGGGATAAATAAGAATGGTTAAACACTGAAAATGGAACAGATATCCACCTTCAACCTTTTCTTCTTGAAATTGAACTAGTTATAACAGTGTTAAACCCTCCTTCTTGATGAAGCCATGGGAACTGAAAATGATTAATCAATAGCGTTTTCCATTTTTCTCTCACTATTTCAGTGTCCCATGAACGCATAAAATATCTACACAGATTGAAGGACTGACTGCCTACCTATTCACTTAAATGTAATGATGATAATATAACTCAAACTGATACATTTTTATTTGTTAGACCAGGAGCCACACTTGTTATACGAGACTTTACGTTACTACTAGACTGTCGGGTCAAGGTAGATGAGCTTAAGTTCGAATTCGGCATCCACTGCTTAAAGTCAAGTGCTTAAGACAACGATGATTATCTGCACATATTCATCTTTGCAATGCAGTTTTCTGAATAGTTTCTTCAAAGTTGTTTACCTAAGGCCTTGTAATTTACAAGACATTTTATAATTCTGTGCATCATTCCTACCAAATTCAGCCTCATAACAGTACCTAAATGCAATAGGTTAGGTAGTATTGTTCAGTAATTCACACAAATAAATAAAATCTTCATATCAATGTGTGATGTATGCATAAATATAGATGCTACGTACTGGAGATTATGAAATGGTATAGAGTTTAATTACTTTCTGTAAATACATTTGAAAAATCCTAAGAAAACTGGCATTCGTACTAATATTATTGCTTTTATTGTTCATATTTTTAGCGTACCTAGTCTTATAACTGTTGGAGGGCATCTTCATCAAACAATTGAACTGAATGAAATCATCTGTAATAAAGAAATGGTTTACACAGCTCCAGCATTCACATTACTGACTTGTTTAGATAAACAACAGAATGAGGAAAAAGCAACAAGGTTAAGTGTAAGTTTATATATATATATATATATATATATATATATATATATATATATATATATATAATTACAGCGATTGGTTCAAACCACAGTTGATTGATTCAGATGAGAAGTTATCACCTGATAAATTTTTAACAGCTAAAAATCTTTGGAAGATAAGAAAATGCCAGATTCCAATTGATTAGGTAAGGAATACAAATAATATGACAATGATTTATGAATAAGAACAAGACATATATCAGCGAAGAAGTATTTCTTCCCAACGACGTCATTATCAGGCTGTACAGCCGTGTTTATAATCACTAAAATGACAGATAATGGTACTAAAAAGTTGCCCAGTCAATGTGCAAAATATACAATAAGTGTTGGTGGTGAGATTTGTTCGAGTAGAAAAACAGAAAATGGGTTACTGAATGAAGAGCGAATTGATATTAAGTAGTGAAATATGGGTCAAATGCTGTCAATGAAGTGAGAATTGGTGATAATGATGATAATAAAAGCGAATTATACCAGAGTGAAATGAAACGAAATTGACAAACTAACTAAAATGAATTATTAAGCCCAAGGTGGAGAAAGTGGTTTCACAAAACCTTTTTGAATGAGTTCTCGATTTTGTTCGTGTATAGCTAATACTTCAACTATGCATAAGTAGTGGAAATGTAAACCTTTGGAGTAGTTCAATTCTACTTTGTAAACTACTTAAAATGAATCATGAGGTGCTGAATGACCTAACTCTACTGGGTGTTTATATATGGATGAAGTTGTTTTTCTTCACTCACTTTTGGTAAACCAAACCGGGTAATATTCAGTAACACGTTTTCGGAGGGCTCGCTTATAACGTCCAATATAGTCAGCTCCACAACAGCATGTGAATTTGTAGATACACATAGATGTGGACATTTTTGGAGCCTATTTTTCACGCATTGCCGAATCAGATGGCGGCTGAAGAAAATCAATCTCATTGTATTCATGAGAAATTTTTGTGCATTGTGGAGAGAATCAATTTATGGGAAATATAATTATAATGAATATTTACACACAATGATATTATTCAGTTTTTGGTAGTATTTCGAGCAAAATTACTACCCGTGATCACACCAATAGTTGGAATTATTTGTTCACACATTTACGTCTAGAGTTTATACATATATATATATATATATATATATAGTATTTTCATTTTGTAGGTTTATCATTGTTTTCCTGTAGTACTACTTTCCACGTTGTTGACAGTTGCAATGAGTCACCTTTGTTGTCATAACACCTTTATCTGTAAACATTCATTGAATATATATTTCTAATAAAATCAATCTCAGTCTAGTAGTATAAAAGCTACTGTTAATACTCGACAGACGGTCTTTCAGTGCTTCGGCTGTGGCGTCGCTTTTGAATTTCAGATTCATGGTTAAGATCTTAGGAATTGTTATACAAGCAAAAGTTATTTGTTTCTTCAGATTTTTATCAATAAATCTTTTAGGATATCCGTTATTCGATAGTGTTGTTCTAAGAGCTTCGAGTTCACCATTCATGCTATCTTCTGAAAAGATGAAATCGAAACTCTTATTTGTTCTGTAAAGTCTATGCTATTACTTAGTTGAACCGGCTGAATTCGATGCAGAAAATTTTAAATTTAGTACCTGTCGGTTAGAAGTCTAAGCTCTTGAACTTCATGTGAGAATAAAAGTGCCATGGATTGAGAACATTACTGAAGTATTTGTAAATGAATTTTCAATACTTTAAAAAATCACGTTTCTGTTCCTTTAAGAGGAGGAAACATAAAGTAACTAATAAATTATCATAAAGGTAGAATTCAGATGAGAAATACTATACCTCAAGCCGACTGTGACTAACACTAATTGAGCCAGAAAGATAGATAACTGTGATCGATTTGATCCTGTGAAGTGAGTTTCAGTTTTATGGTAGTCTATGATCAGGATGTTTAACCTTATATATTCAAGATATCACGAGAAGTTTGCTTTTCTCAACGTTGCAGATACATCTTGCTGATAAGTGTCAAGATTTGAACAACTTTACTCAAGATGAACTCTTTACCTGTTATGTCCACCCACTTAGTATCATACATAGCTGATAAGAGTTTTGTTACACTTACCGCCATGGTAACAATATAAAAACCGATCGACAGAACTTGACCATGACTGGTTGTTCAATGACAGAAAAAAATGTCTACTGTCCACTAACTGGTTTATTAAAAATAATAATAGACAATGTCGGAAAGTAAGCTGTAACGAAGTAAAGCTAGACATTAAAGTCACAAGAAATTACATTTACTTAAGATGTTAAAATGTATACAAGATTCTACCATACAAATTGAATTTACAGTATCTGAATACAAATGTCGCTCAATGAGTAACTTATACGTTCTAATAAGTCATTCATGAAACTATGCTTAGCTGATTTAAGCACTGAACATTTCACTGACTAGGTCATTTGTTCATAATCAATCTCACTTACAGAGACAGAAAGGAAAACTGGACAACGAAGCTGTATTTTGAACTTCTAGACAAACGCTGCGTCTCAGAGTCTTGTGTGTAAAACCTTTCGTATGTATTGACTTTTTACGATTACTAAGTGAATGATTTGGATGGTTTTCTTGTAACATAACTTCAGAAATATTTTTGATTCATCCGAAGCGATGTTATTATGATGGAAACCATTGTAGTTAGAGACGGAGCAGAAGAAGCTTAAGCTTACAATAGAGTTTCTCTTATATGCCAAACATTTACAGCCAGTTAAGGAGTGACAGTTTATATATATTCGTAACGGACTGATATCAGTTGGAAAAACATTGGGAACCTGGAAGCAATGGCCAGCTGTTTCGTCTTACTATGGGTTTTCTCAGCAGTGAGCACCTATGACTCAGCCTCACCAAAGATCAAACCTGAGACCTTCGGGTTCTGCGGTGAGCACGTTACCATTGGGCCACCAGGTCAGAATCCAGTGGTCCATATTTCCTATTTCTGTCAGTTCACGATATAGCGCGACCTTCAACCAATGCCGTCACTGAGAAACTGTCCTCATGTTCTACTTGGTTGGCTCCACTGATCACGACTTCTCGTTGGAACTTCAGGAATCACCTCTCGAAACTAGTCACCACTAAGTAATAGATTGATTCAATTTGAATAAATCCCCCACAAACCTCCAAGTGAACTAATCTAGTGCTCAATGATAACTAGCTTCGAGAGGTGATTCCATAAGTTCCAGTAAGAAGTCGTGACCAGTGGGGCCAACCAAGTCGAACATAAGGACAGTTTCTCAGTGACGGCATTGGATGAAGGTCGCACTACATCGTGAACTGACAGAAATAGGAAATATGGACCATTAGATTCTGACCCAGTGACTCAAAGTTAATGTGCTCACCGTGGAACCCGAAGGTCCAAAGTTCGACCCCGAAACTGAAACTTAAGGTTAAAATAGAGGAGTAAGACCAGAAAGAATAAGAGGCATAAAGATAACTAGTAAGTATTAATTTAGGGGATAAAAGTGTAGGAAAAAGTTAAATTGAAAAGGAAGCAATTTTACCGAAAACCCAAACTAGTTACATGGTATTTATTGATATACTTGTAATTCTCCGTTGTTTCATCAGATCGAATTGTTCGACCTCTATTGGCATATGGGCTCCTATGCGGATGCCTCGATATTGCCTGAATGTCAATCATAGTAATTTAGTTGGTTGTGGCTAGCAGAGGAATCTAGGACGCGCGTTTCGTCTTACCTGGGACTCCCCAGCTGGATATACCTGCCCCGCAGTTAGTGATGTTATTCCCGCCGTAATTGACATTCAGGCAATATCGAGGCATCTGCATAGGAGCCCATATCCCAAAAAGGTCGAACAGTTCGATCCAATGAAACAACGCGAATCATAAGTATATCAATAAATAGGAATAACTATTACTCGTTGTACAAGAAGTGGCTATAGTTCCTCTGTGGCGTAATGGATAACGCCTTGGCGTTTGAAGCGATGGGTACGAGGTTTGAGTTCCGGGGGGAACAACATCACTCACTGGGCTGCAGATGCATCCAGCTGACAAGTCTTAAACAGGACGAAACGCGTGTCCTGGATTTGTCTGCTTGCCACAATCAACTAAATCACCATAATTACATGCTATTTAAATAACGGTAATAATGTGATTAGCCTGAAATAGGTAACGAAAGACATGAAACTGTGTAGTTGCGATGATCAGTTATAGAATCAACAAGGACAACCTCATCTTTAGTGACTGCTTTCAGTAAAAAGCAAGGTAACTTCTCTGCTGATTAGTAGAAAGTGATAGTCATAAGGATAGATCGCATGTAATATCTACATATTTTGTTAGAGAGGAATATTATTTTCCAGTTTAATCGGTTCTGAAAACCGTAGGTAAAATTGTCGAAGTACACTGCGAAGAAGCAGTTGTAATTATCTTCATGCATTCGAAAGATAATTATTTCGGTCCTCTTTATCTATAGTGAATCTTCAGTAGTTCACTTTGTTTTTATGTTATTACCTGCCTCCTTGCCTCACACCACGCTCTAATGACAAACAACTAAAAATGAATATTCTATCAATTTATTTTGATAGCCATTTCGAGCAACACTGATCGGTAAACCTATAAAACCAATAATTGAAACATCACATGAAAATCACTCTGCAGAAACTTTTATCAAATCAGAAGGAGAAAATAACAGGGAAGCGAACTCTTTCACACCAGTAATACATCCTAAAGGCATATTATCATCAGCACTTGTTGAACGTGTATGGGACTCTGCAAAGTGTAATCGAATCAATCAAGATAGTCAACGACAGGAAGGTTAGTTAACTGTTGTTTACTTTTGTGACCAGCTATATTGTCCGTTAGGAAGCCAAAGACGTAGGTTTCAAGCCTACCAACGATAATCAGAATTGGCATCAGCTAACATTGAAGTCAGAAGTACTGTTCAGATTTATCTTTAACTTTCTGACAAGATGAATAAGTTCGAAGTTGTTTGACAAATGATGTAGACCTAGAATTCAAATTGCAGATCTAAGTTTGTGGATCATTTCTGTATCTATGACTCAAATGCAAGTTGACTGATAAGAATGAGTCAAGATTTTTAAATTATAACTTTAAGAAATATTCTAATGTTATTATGGAAATTCTGTACATTGTTATTAGTAGTTATTTACATATATCACCTTGTCTCGTACTGTTTCATCTGCTTCAATCGAATTCCTTTTGTGTTCATTTTCCCTCTTTGTTGCTGTGACGTAGTGTTTGGTTGTTTAAGGCAGTCGGCAGAAGACCCTGGAAGTAGGTTTTATGACTGTTAGCACTCGTTAACATGGCGTATTTGCAGCCTCTAAGGTTATCAGTATGAAATATGTATAACAGAATTCGACCTTGTTTCACTTTTAAAACCAACCTCAAATTTGAAAATATCGTCAAGACATGCTTTAAACGAATTAAGCGAACTGAGCACTTTGACGATGGTTTGAAATCAAAACAAATACCTATAGAAGCATTTAAATTAGATAGGAAAGTGAAATTTTCATATCTCTGTATCAGTATCGTCGTCCACTACAGGATATTTTTTCTGTCGCCGACCTGTTTTGCCATCATTTCTAACTCTACGTTTTCTTTATTTCCCTAATTTAACTTCCTGCGATGATAAGTAAATTGTAATGATACTTGTGATTTCCCGTTGCTATGCAGGGCCGAACTGCTCGATCTCGTTTGGCAGGATGGGCTACTGCGCGGATCCCTCAATTCAGCCGGATATTCATAATGTTATATTGATCTTGTTGACTAGCAGAGGAGTCCAGGATGCTCTTGTCCTGTTTGAGACTAGTCAGCTGGGCGTACCCACCTACCAGTGAGCGGAGTTGTTCCCAGCCGTGCAGAGGACGATATGCCAATGGAGAACAATCAATGCGGTCTACTCAACGACAGGACAATACAAGCAACAACATTAAAACTACACCCGTCGCACAAGAAGTTGCTATCGTGACTAGGTGACGTAGTGGATAACGCTCTGACGTTTCAAGCGATTGGTCCCGAGTTCGAGTCTTAGTGGGAACAACATCGCTTACTAGGAGGCAGGTGTACCCAAATAAGGAGTTCTATATAGGACGAAATGCGCATCTTGGATTTCACTGCTAGCCACTATCCATCATATCAGCTCGTGTCATGACAAATAACAACAGCGTGCAAAGACTGACTTAAAATGAAGGTAGAGATATTACTTTAGAGAAGAACTAAGATATGAGTGAAGGAAAATAATGACGACACAGAAATGAAATATTACATCCAAATACCTGTAGGAACTATTTCACTTGAATTATTAAAAGATATTGGGATTGATATACATTTGCTACCTTACGACTGGTTATTATGAAGGCTTGCCATCTTAAACATTTCCAGGCAATAGCCTAGCAGGATAAAGAGATAAATCAACGGCAAACCTTGGACAAATTGTGGTTAAGTAGTAGAATTGAAGGTATTCCGATCAATCATCGATAGGATGGCTTTGAAAAACTTGGTCACCGAGTTAGTATAATTCATAGTATAAGGTGTATTTTTGACTCGTTGAGAAAAAGTTGGTTAGTTGATCTGCCTCTCAAAGTTATCCACCTACAGTTCAAGCAAACAGGCTTGTAAGTGGAATATCTACTCTTCTTCGCCCATATTCTCAATAACGGCTGACTTTATCATCCCAATCCCTTTGACAAGTGATAATCACACACTATTCCCTATCACTCCTGTTTTATATATATATATATATATATATATATATATATATATATATATATATATATATATATGTTATCTATGAAAGTTAGTTGCATATTTTGCCACAGATCTACGTCGAATGCAAAGAATAACTGAATTCCTATGCGCACAACGTCAGAAAACAACTGCAACTTCAGACAATACCGTTTCTAAAGAGGTAAGTTTTGCTTTAAATTGCATATTTCCACATTGAAATTGAGTGAATTATGCAATTCATCTTGATGAAATTATAACTGGTAGTGGCATATATGTAATGGAAACTAAACTTCCCGACACTATATCTTAATCTTTGCTATGATATTCTCTTACTAGTAATGGTATTACGTTGAACAGATACCACGTGAATCAATGCATATCAAGATTAGATTTTTGGAGTACGAAAAAGCCAAAAACAATGTCCATAGTAGTCTTTAATCTATTTTGACATGTTGCTGATGCACCCTTTTTTTATAGGGTATTGTAAAGATAAAAATGTCATGAAAGATGTTCAAATTTCCTGTTATACAGACTGGTGATTAGATAAAAGAGTAAACTCACTACTTTTCATCCTTGATCACTTGATTTTGAACAAAAGGCAGAGCAATTCAACGATTGAGAAATATAGGAAAATTAATGATTTGTAGACTAGAAGTCATAAAATAAAGATTTGAGTAGATAACTTGTGAAGGATTACTTACATTTACTTCGTCAATTCCACTAACTTAAAGGATAACAAGGAATCGCTTCCTTTTCTCATACCTTAAGGGGGCATATAAATTCATAGAATGCCTGAAACACATGTGAAAATGATACCAGTAACGATCAAAATTACTTAGTAAGGTCATTCTAACGCATTTCTAATCCCTACACTTAAACGAAACAGGTTTATACGAATTCCGTAATCCTAAGTTCGATACTTCACAACAAAGTTCGGTTCACTGAGTATAATTTAATCGATAAAGTCATTTGAATTTCTAGAATTCAACGTAGAAACTACCAGATTACATATCCGATAGTTTATTGACAAAATGCAAGACCAAATTTCTAAGAAGCGCTCATTTTCTACCTAACTATGTTATTTATTGAACAACTTGGAATCTTGAACACCTTTTTGCCGGTTCTTCCTATCACATTTTGATGAAGATTTGAAAAAACAACCCCGCACAACCAAAAGTTAACAAAAAAATAGTCCCAAAACAACCAACCAGAGTCATTGAATATTGAAAACGTCTTGATAAAATGGGAAAATGTCTATAGAGGATAATTTGAACTAATTACTACTACCTCAGGTTTAGCTGCGGGATAATTAATTGTGGAAGTAACACGCACATCTTGTTTATCGTTAATAGTCTGTTGTCAATATTACAGCAGTAACAGCCCCAGTAGGTGTTTAAGATCACCTGGTTAGGTGATAGCTGTGGACTGTTGTGCTTTATCAGCACCAAAATTTTCCTCTGAAAGAAAAGTGTCTTTTAAGACAAAAAAAGGAGAAAACAGCAAGCGAACTATTGACTGGTGAACTATAATAATACCAATTTCAGCATGCGAAAGAAATCTCTAACAATCTAAGTATTCTCGCTTGTGAGCTAAAACGTATCTGCTCACATTTTCTTCTTTGATCAGACCAATTACTGAAAACTTCATAAATTATGTATCAGCCAAACTAACATACTATCTAAGATTCCAGATTCACCTGTCATTAGACGTCGAAATGAAGCTCAGGAACAAAAAACCCGAGAAAACTATGCAGATTTTATACTTGGCTGTGAGTGTGTCAGTCAGATATTCAACCTCAGTCAGATTCTGGAACGCAGGCACAGTTACCAATGCCTGCTGTATATCTTGACCTGTAGCCGATTTTCGACGCGATCGATCGATAGGTCTAACGTTGGTGTCTCTCAGTGACAAGGGTACCGAGGGTTCTGTACTCGAACACCCGTGGGCAAGTTAGAGCTTATGGTTAATTGTCAGACGGGTTGTGTACGTCAGGTGGTATCCATTAAGGATGTTCACTCTCTCCATCCTTATTCAATTTTATTATAGACATCGTAGTAGATAACGCTGTGGCTTTTGAAGTCCTGAAGTTAAAAAGGCTAGAGTCAGGCAGACTAAAACGTAGCATAAATTCATTAAGTTTTTGACTGTTTGTCTGTGAGACGTGTAAAGAAATATGAACTACATGGTGAGAGTTCGTGGAACAACAAAGCCAGGGGTGAAAACTTTAAGTGACATGGTTCAGAGTCAATGTCAGTTGTGCAGATGTATCTAAATGTTATCCCTATTTTTATCGTCATATGAATTCAGTAATTTCTTATTCCTGCATGTTATCTTATCATGACTTTCTACCACTTTTGACTGCTTTCTATATTTCTTTATCTTACACCTTGATGCATTCTCGCTCAATGTGATGGTATGAGGTGTCTCAACCTGAACCACCATGCAATAATGCCAAGTATCATGTTGATCTTATTTGCTTATCTTCTTATATCACCTTTCTTGTAATGTTTAATCTTTGTTGATTTCTGTGATTTGCCTAACCTCATATTTTTGTGAGTTGTGGCAATTTTAACACTAACGATTTCGTATGAGATTCTACGTCCCTCTAACTGTCACTTTCTCTGATATTCATTGCCATGCCTCACATCATCTCATGAACGCGAAAGGGAACAAGAGGGAATACAAAGAGATGGAAATGGTATGGTCAAACGTAAATGAAATCTCCAAGCCCAAAAGAAGATGAGCTAAAAAAACAAAAACTGTGACATACTGATCCAACCAAAGATGTAGTTGAGTCTGCAATCGTTTTTGAATCATATCAACTAGAATCTTCAACTGTCAGCTCCATTTGTCTCATGGATACCAACTTGACAACTTACATCTCAATCCAAGGTTTAAACTAGTAGTCATAGACTTCATGAAATAACACCACGTTTAATCATATCCTTAGCCTTATTCCAACCTAACTTGGCTTCAGCTGACATAACGCTCAAAGATAGATGGTCAATAAGCATGCGTAACGTATCAGTGCTACCTCATTCGATGAAGTTTTAAATCTAATTCACTGATTTATCTCCTTTACCGAAGGTTCTTTGTGTAACCTTTATATTACTCATGTGGTGGCTTCATGACATAATACTGATACTACGAAGGTTACTATGGTCAAGTACCTTGAGCCTCCTCATTTATTTCACTTGTTTCATAGTCGTTAAGTAGGATAGCGTTACCTGCTTCTCAGCGCATTTGACCTTTAATAGGTATTCACATATCTTACCGTTAGTGTAGCTTTTTGTGACTGATTGGGCCTTTTGTGTATGTCAGTAAATCGTGTTGGCAGCTGACCAGTCAAGGCTGATGTGAATTTCTAAATAAGTTAAGTACTCAATATGATCAGCAAATTTACCCTCTTTTGTCAAATGAATTATAAATGGAGGCCACTGCTGATCCAATAATTATCATTTAGGAGATAAGAAATGGATCCTAAAAATTCTCAAATTACCAACTAGTGTCCAGAAGACTGCATCTTGTCATCGTCTTCATCTACCATGACTACATCGTCTCCAGGCCCTAACATGACTAATGAATCTCCTGCTAGGAAACCAAGAATTGTCTCTGAAGGAATGTCATAGGTAATTTTAGCGGGTTGTACAAATCCTGTCCAGTTCACCATACAAACACGACAGTGTAGCATAAGATTTTTAAAATTAAATAACAAAAACGTCCAGTTTCTGTTCTAGTAAACTGTATGCTTTGATAAACTAGCTACTGGGACTTATTACATTTTAACCTTATCCCTTAGATGGTTACTGTATGCTTCAAATTTTAAACACTATTTATGCACAACTAAACGCTTCCTGTAACATAGTAACGGAAACTGTGAACCACCTAATTGCCTATTTAATACGCTACCACTTCAACATTGAGACCCAACTCGTATTCAATTGTCTCATAGTTACATTAGTCATAGAAAAGTTGACGTTTCAAATTTATGTATGGTGTGATATTTTATCTCACATGTAATTTGTTACCAAACAGAATCAATGAATTAAGGTTTCTCTGTAATTTAAATTTTTTTTAAACATAATATTACAACTGTAAAAAGTCAGCTGATAAGATGAAACATAGTTTACATGAAGTAAAAATGTATCTTCGTCATAATTTTCTTCATTATTTTCAGTATCCCGGTGGGATTTACACACGTTTAGACTTACAATGGCGTTCACAATCTGGTTTAGCACTTTCAAAACCTCCATGTCATTCTCTCCGGTAAGAAAAATATTCATAGTTGTTTGTTTAAGATTAATTTGGTTGGTTGCGGCTAGCAGAGGAATCCAGGACACGCGTCTTGTCTTATTTGGGACTCGTCAGTTGAATGTACCTGCACCCCAGTGAGTGATGTTGTTCCCACCAAAACTCGAACTTCGTATCCATCGCTTCTAGTACCAAGGCGTTATCCACCATGCCACGGAGGCACGTAACCGCTTCTTGTGCAACGGGTATAAGTTATCACTATTAATTGATAAACTTGTAATTCTCCGTTGCTTTATTGGATCGAATTGTTCGACCTCTATTGGGATATGGGCTCCTATACGAAAGCCTGGATACTGCCTGGATGTTAATTATGTCAATTTGGTTTGTTGTGGCTAGTAGAGAAATCCAGGACACACGTTTCGTCCTACTTGGGACTCGTCAGCTGGATGTACTTGCACAATTCGATCCAGTAAAACAACGGAGAATTACGAGCTTAGTTTTACTGAAACCGACTATAGGGCCAGGTGCATCTAATTTGTCGCAAGCGAAAATCATTTATTACCCACCTACATGACAGTTTTTCTTTATGGGATCATGTGTAACTTTGCGTGAAAAACAGTGTTTCAATCATTAATTTACATGTTATCACTAAATTTTTCCCAAATTCAACCTTTGTACATGAAATTCAAAACGCATAACATACACATACAACTCGGAGTCAGGAGTCAAAACACTGCAATCTTCAGCCACCTTTTCATCACAGTCCAAGCTGTAACAATGACCGATGGAGAGGACTGGTAAGAGATCGGCATTCTTTCTCGATATTCCCGTCCGCCCACACCTTCACTTGAAAATGATTTTAGTTGAGTCCCAATGGATAGAAAAACACCACACCCTAAAATCAGTTTCCATCTCATTTCAAAGACGAAGATGTCATTGAAGTCGAGAATGGATGAGCAGTTTACGGAACATAAAATTTTTACCCAACCTGAGGTAGTTTGATAACATTTCTAATATGTTATCAGTCAGTGATCGAGATTTTAGATAAACTTGTGCAGGAGTTCACAGACAACTAGTAAATCTCGGCAATTTCAGCTGAATTACTGCATACATAAAAATCAATCTCTCAGAATTAGTTTGGATTTATATTGCGAAAGAGCCTCTGCATTCATCGTGACCAGTATTGATCAGTGGAAGTCTAAAATAATGATAAGGTAGTAGCGACACGTAAAAGCAGACAAGTTTTGAAACTTGCAAGGAAGACGAAAATGAAAATGTAATGATTCACTCTAGAAGAGAGGGACCAGAATAATGAGCGGAATTGTTGTGAGCTAAGATATTATATTGTTATGATGTAATTATCCATTAACACTGAGTGGTTCGCTAACCTAGAACCTAAGAATAATAATTAAAACGGAAGACAACATAAACCAAAGGATTTATTAGCTGCTAGAAATAATCAGTAAGAACAAAATAACAAAATGTATTGCATTTATGCAACAGTCGATAGGATAGTATAAAATAATCTGGCTGGTTGTAAATCGATTACCATTGATAATAAAGCAGTTGAATAAATCTAATTACGGACAAAATTAATAAGGCGAAGAAATATAATAATAATAAAGTAATACTGTTTGTCATGCAACAGTTTTTCTGGGAAATAGTCGTATTTCCTGATAGAAACAATTCAAGGAATAACTCAACTAACCTTCAGGTTACTCACTATTCCGTAGTAGGTTTGACTAGAGTTTGAAGTAACTTTCTCCATACTTAATGGTGGGGCTTTTCGCTTGGTGTGGTTAATTTCCTAATGTAACAAACTTATGCTTTTAGAAAGTTTCAACTGTTGACAGCAACTAGTGCTGTCCTACAGGGATGTCCAATGTCACCGTTCTTACTTAACTTCGTCACAGACGTACTAATGGACCTTACCCTAGGTACGTCTGACGTCACAGGGATTGAACTACTCCATGGAGGTCATCTAGTTGACTTGGAATATGCAGGCGATATCATCCCACCAGATTAAGGCGCTGATGAAATGCGAGGTCTTCTGAATGCCTGGGTCAGGAATCTGAGTTCGTTCAGTATACTTTTCGCACCTGTCAAATGTAAGATGCTGCTCTACCACTGGTGTGCAACGACTGCTAGCATAATGATAGGGAATGTATCTACCACTTCACTTACTTGGGGAGTCGCATCATCCCGAACGGGCTGGTCGCTGACGAAATCTTAGCTCGGATACAGAAGGCCCGTTTGGCATTTGCTAACTTGAGTCACTTGTGACGTCTGTGAGATATCCGGCTATCTATCAAAGAACAGGTATACTGCGCTGCAGTCCTTTCTTTCCCGTCATATGGCTATGATTCATGGGCGTTGAAGATAGAAGACTTAAAGCGGTCAAAGGGTTTTAGTCACAGGTGTCTCCATAGCATTGCTCCAGCTTGGTGGGATTGCCGTATGAGGAAGGTTGAGGGCATGCAAAAAGTACTAGTCAAGACAGGCAAGTCTATTGATGGGGTTGTGAACCTTCATGGGTTGAGATGACTAAGACATGCACTGCGCATGCCGAGCCATCACCTATCTAGGCATGCAATGCTACAGGAAGTTGGATTAAAATTGACTTCAGGGTGGCCAATACTAAGATCTGGCACCAGTCAACAAAGTCCCTGACTGTTGAGTTGAGCCATGTGGGGAGATAGAGACTACCTGGTTGGGGCCTCCGAGGCGAAAGGAATTAGTGGTTGAAGACATAGTCAGTTTTTCAGAAAATTAGGAGCAATTCAACAGTGGTACAATAGCAGACACCTAGAGCCTTTAGCTTATAACAATCATTATATTCGAATCTAACTATTGATAAGTTGGATGAGCATCAGCATACTTTTGATAATAATAATGAATAATTTTCTCTTTCTATTGCAGGAAGCTGAAAACACAAAGCTCTTCAATTCCTTTCCGATAACCGGATATGTGAATTGAACCAACAAAGATATGCTACAACTATTGTTTTGTTTTCTGTATTCATTGAAACCTTTTATAAGAAAAATAAAACAGTTTCTTGAAGTAATTGTGATATCCCACATGAATTTGAACTTTTAATTAAGTCACCTTTTCCTCTGACTAGTAAAGGTTTATGGGGACTCAAAATGGCGTTTATGAAAAAACGTTAGTCTTTTGAAAAAAAGCGAAAACAGTGATTTAGCAAGAGTGACAACTTTACAACTTCTGTGCAAGTTTTTTAATGTTATCTGTCTATCTAAACTAAAAGCGTTAACTAATTCCAACTTTCAAATGCAACATCATGCAGTAAACTGTTAGATATCCATCTGAAGATTATTCTTGCCAAGTAGATGGCAGATTGAGTGAAATTCAAATTCGTTGTCGATTAAATGGAAATTCGTGACTGGAAATTGTAAGTTACAATTGTGAATTGTCAGTGTATCAGCATCATTTATAGTCCGATGTCCAAATTAACGAGAGGTGATTTCGCTAGTTTTCACATCTTGAGCTTCTTTCACTGTTGTGAAATATACTTGAGTTCAAAACATCGATGATATGAAACCTGATTTAAATATTTGAAAGTAAACAGTTATCAGTTTTTGGGGATAAATAGTGGGAGCCAATCGGTAGGAAGCTCTGAACCCAGGTTCAGTGCTCGTTGATTCTCATCAACAAGGTGTATCTGCAACCACGAAGAAACTGGTGTTCCTTCGGTGATTCGAACTTGCGATATTGTTCTGGAGTTAGAGACTTGGGCAGGCATAGAAGAAATCAATATAGGACTTAGTACACAAGTGCACTGGTTCAAGTTGTCACACTTCACAGCAGCACTGAATGAACAAACGGATCGAAAGGGACTGATATCAAATTAGAAAAGGGTGTATACGCGGAGAAACAATTTGAAGATAAAGGTTATTGCAAATATTCAAGCTTTAGAAGGCGTCAAAGAGTGAATACATCCCCACCATAGTAACCAATTTTCAGCCATTTCACCTAGAGCCCTCAACCACTGTTCCCTATTGTCTGTAGGACCCCAGCCAGGTAGTCTATACCTCCCCACAGCTCGTACCAATGGTCAGAGGCTTCATCCTCTTGTGCTACGTCTTGGTCAGGCCACTTTGAACCTAATCCAACTTTCTATAGCATTGCAGTTTGAAGTAGGCAATGACTCGGCATGCACAACACATCCAGGTGAACTCTGAGGTTGAAGGACCACAACCTCGACAACCCCCTTCTTTTCTTTTGTTAGTACCTTTCACATAACCTCTACATTACTATCGTGGTGATTTCATCACACGCAACCAGCGTTACGAAGACATCTCTGATCAATAATATGTAACCACTTCATATTTTCTATTTCAAAAAGCCATGTCTAACGGCTGTATAACAGGACATAGTAAACTGCGGAGCAATATAATCGTAGTTGATATATAGTCTGATATCTTGTCGGTCGGCACAAGTTGCCAGACGCCAAAGCAAGTCTTATGCATCCAAGCTGAGACTTCGTCAGCAACCCGTTCGAGCTAATGCAGCACATCTATAATGAAGTTAAGTAGGAAAGGTGGCAGTGGACTTCCCTGACTGACATCACTAGTCGTCGTCAATCCTAATGATAATTTTTATAAGCCCTCCACGGCTGCGTGGGTTTGAATAAGGAGCTTTGATTAGTGTTATATACTTGCTCGGTACTTCCATAACAGTCAGTTATTACAACAATACCTCTCAGTCGGGAAATTCAAATGGTCAAGAAATATGGCAAGTGTCGGCCACCGGTAAATATACCTATGTCCCAAAACGTGTCGAAGGGTGAAAATCTGATTGTTGCATCTAGGTCAGAAAACTGCTTGTTCCTCTCGAGCTCCAGATAGGCATCGCATATTTGTGGATCCAAGAATCCTGGACACGATATCAATCAGACTGATCCCGCTATGGTTGTCATAAGAATATTATCTCTTCTTACAAACTGGGATGATCAGTGAAGTATATCAGTCTGACAAGGCTACCTCTGATTTCCATACAATTCCTAGTACCTCTGTCACTCTAACCAGCAATTTTCTACCTACATAGTGAAAAGTGTCAGATGGCAAACTGTCAGTTCATGGTACGTTGCATTGTCTCAGGTTTGAAACTGCCATCTTAACTTCGAGGGCGTTCGGGGTAAGGACATCTACGTCCCATTCAGGTTGAGGCTAAATGTTGTGCAACTAAAGCGTCAGTGAGGGTTAGTTGGACTGTGCTTCAAAGTGTTCTGCCCAACGTTGTAGCTGCTTGTCCTGAGAAGTTATCAATGTCCTATCCTTTTCTGTGATGGTTTAACCAACCATGTTTTTCTTCTTGCTGGTATCCCTAATAAATCGAAATAGCTGCCAGATGTTGGCCATCGCTTACGCCAGCCACCACTGCTTGCGATCGACGCGAAGACTCTTTGTCAACTTGCGCCCAAGTTTCATTTGCTTTACATTGTGGTCAGGCCATCTGGAATCAGTCTTCTTACATCAGTCAGTTTAGGTAACGTTGCGGAAATTTGATGATGTTCTGCTAACTATCGCGTACAGGACACCGAATATCTTTACCGCTGTTTCTACAGCACACCTAATATCACATCAGGTTTCCCCGGGGTGAGCATTGCTGTCATGTCCAGATAAATGCTTAGCTAGCTCATTCCTATATACGCACTCTGTGTCCTCATCTTCCAATCGAGTATAAACAGGCTTTACCGTCGTCTGTTTCCTGAGAATAGTAAGACGCAGATATACACGAGCCCGTACTAACGTATGATTGGAGTCCAGACAGGTGTTCTGGCAAGACCAACAATCCTCTGACGATTTTCTGACACCATGGCCAACAGTAATATGATCTGCCTGTGTCCATCAATGGTTCAAAGTCGGCGGACGCCCTGTAAGGTAGTGTGTCCTTATGCTTAGCGTTAGTGCTAACCAGAAACAAGTGATTATCGGACGGAAATTGCAATGCACAGCCACCATTGTTGGTTTGTTGGAATGGGACTCCGTAAATTCCTCTTAGATGCCTTGCTGATTGGCTCAGCTTCCTTACTTGAGCTTCAAAGTCATCGGCTTTCATAACAACGTATGGATGTTTTGCTTTCTGAAGCAGAAGTGACAGCTTCTTATAGAATCCATCCTTTGCATCATCCGAACTGCAGTAGGTGGGTGAGTAGGCAGAGATTATGACTAGTCATCGGCTGGTATCTGTGTCCTTTCTGGTTCTTACAGGTCCATCCAGTCGAAAAGTATACAGACAGATTTTCACTGATACGAATTCGAGGAGTGCACTTCAACCCTACAATTTAATTCTATGCGTGTCTGCAAAAGCTAGCTACTGAGTCTCCGAACATTCACCTGGTGAATTTTGAAGATTCACAGAAATGGATGAGTGAGGTCAGTTTAATAACCACACTCGAGTCCCGTATGCCTCTCAGAAATACAGAATATATATACCTATGGATCGAGATCCTAAAGTTCTGGCTAGCAATACTTCTTGTCTGAGTTGGTATGCAGTTCGGATGTTGAAAGCTTCAATATGAAATCTATAGCGGGATCTTAAGAGACTAGGTATGAGGATTAAACGGCTTTAACCGGTGAAAATGGCCGCAGAGTGAGGGGTTGAGGAAGATGTAAGAGGCCTAGATTCGGTATTAGGAAGTGAAGGCAAAGAAGATAATAAAAATGACGAGGATAAATCATATCTCATTAAATACTATTGTTAGGTAGTGATTGTTCCAATATTTGCTAAAATAACTGTGAAATATATGTGGCTTGGATACATGCTGAGGGCATTTCCAGCATCTTTGAGGTAGGCATTTACATTCTTGTGTACTGCATTTTACCTGTTAACATTCTGTTGCTTGGCATCAGTGTGTTTTATTATGTCATTCCATATGTCTCTAGACTCTGGTAATCACCAACTTTCAGATACAGGGTCCATAATTGCCACTAGTCCTTCTATGCCTTCTTTTAAATTTACTTACCCTTATTTGTGGTTTGTTCTTCGAGAACATTTCTTGACGACTAGTCAGATAACCTCCTAAACCACGAAATTTCGATACATAAGCTCTATTCTGCTGGACGAAGTTGCTGAACAAGTAAGGGAGACACTCAAAAAATCCCATACAGACACACTTCATGACGTTTTAAAGCAAGAAATGATAAAACCTAATTAATACGATCAGAAAGGTGTTGATCGACTGCTGAATGGCGTGTACCTTGGTGACATAACACCTTCATAACTTAAGCGGCACCTAAAAGTTTATTGATATGTAGAAACTTAGAAAACTTTTTATTTTATCAGCTTTAATTACGCGAAATCCCTTCAAGTATTAGGTTTTGGCACCGAAGATACCGATAGATTGGCTGATACTGCTGATCTTACATACAGGTAGAAGGTATCGGTGAGCCAGCACAGAACGACTGAATTAGCGCTTTAGCAAAGAAGACTGACAAACTATCAGAAAAACTGACAGCTTAACAGTTGCACGGATGGTCACTGAAGTTCTCCAGAAGTGAATCTCGCAGCTGTGAGTAGAACTGAGTCAAAAAGTAACACGTGCTGATACCACCGGAAGTTTGGCGATAAAGCATGCCGCTGTCTGTTGCCTCCTGATTTTAAACCTTTTATTTTCCCTAGAAACGGAGAGGTTAGCGGTCAGCCACGATTGCTGTCACTGATGTGTTCTGAAACGAACAAGACAGGGGTGCAGTTCATGAATGACACTAAGCAGGTGTAATCTCACCCACACCTTCCGAAAAACACCATGCAAACCAAGCTTTGGAGGTTCGAGCGATGAAGAGATCGACTATCATCACGTATGTAATTAGAGTTTTGACTCTAGAAAATTTATCATTGCTAATATGTCACCTCCTATCATCGGTATGTATTTCTTCAGCATTAAGAACTAATAGTTGACTCTGGTAGACACAGACTGGTTAGCCGAAACTGTAAGTA